GGAATCAAAAGACCATGTGTTCGCCTTTGGAAAAGCTTATACGGCCATCCTGAAGCAGGGTACCATTGGGATCCAAGATTTACGGAGATGATGCCTGAGATTGGTTCCGTTCATTGTTCGGACACGTTTCAATCAACTTACTTCATGAAAGACACTGGACTTTTGTTGACTTTGTACGTGGACGACATGGTATTACGCGGCCCAACAAATCAACACAAACCTTTTTGGGATAGGTCAAAAAACACATTGAGATCGAAGATCCAACACCTGTGGACCGAATCCTTGGAAAAATGACAGACACCGCAATGCAGTTTAGCGTGGAGGATTTTGCCGAAAATGTCTGCAAGGCATACGAGGAGTTGAGTGGTTGCACGTTGAAAACGGCTTCCACGCCATTTTTGCCCGAAGGTTCGTTGGTCGACAGTGACTTTGAGACACATGGCCAGATGGCTAGAGACGCATCAAAGATGCTGATGAAGATTCCCTGGAGTGCAAGACTGGCTATGCCGGATTTGACGAAAGGAATCTCAGATTTAACACGAAGAATCACTACCTGGTCAAAAACAGATGATCGAAGATTCCGGTTGATGTCATACCCTAAAAGGTACTGCTGGATATGTCTTAGAAGGTAGGATCTTTGATGATGCCAAAGCCTTGCACCTTTGCCTAGACACTGATGCCGACCATGCCCCAGGAGTTGATGTGAAATCAACTTCCGGCATGATGCTCACACTAGAGGGCCCGAATTCCTTTTTGGCCTTTATGTTGGGTTTCCAAACGTCAGGGAGCGACTGCACGTAGCACATGCGAGGCTGAGATGATTAGTTTGGATCCAGGTGTTTTCGGAGAAGGTTGCCCATGCAGTGTTTGAGACCATCTTGAACAAACCGATTGATTTGATCTGTCAGCAAGACAATGCATCAGTCATCCAGATCGTGCATGGCGGTTATAGGCCAAAACTTCGACATATGAAGAAGGTTCACAAGTTGAATTTACCATCTCTGTATGAAGTATTCGAAGACCCAAAGGTAAAACTGCAGCATGTAAGTCAAAGCCTTGGAGCCGTGCAGGCGGTCAAATGCTCCCAAACTGATGTCCGTCAAACCACCTTGAGTTTCCCCAGCAAAGCTCGAATCAACCAATCGAGTCGGCTATTTGCGAGAAGGGGGAGAAGAACAAACTCAAGCAAATATACCAACTGTGCCAAGTAGATGTATCACCCAATGAAGGGTAAGTGTCACCAACTTGAAACATGTAGAAGCACCACCAGTCCTTGGTCGTGAAGCCTTTGGGTTCCTTCCATGTAAGTGTGTTGCATGTAATTAACTGCTGGTACAGTTTTACACCAAAGATGTAACTCAAGGAATCTACAGTTTGTACATGCACTGCGACATATTAACATGTCTTAGAGCCATCCAGCGGGTCAGGGGAAAATCTGTCCATGACCCGGACTTTTGGCTCAAGTTCCCACTGGAAAAGTCGGCGTTTGCTGCTTGCCATTGTTTTTATGCAGGGGCGCTGATATACTACTTTCTCGATAGGGCATCCGGAATTATAATGTCCAACATAGGGATTCCCGGCAATGGCGGGATGACTGCAAACCATTGATCGTTGATCCCAGATGGATCATATATTCGATTCCACTCGCAGTTGCAGGTTTTTGCGACAGAACTGCGCAAACGGACACAAACAATTTGGAGTTTTTTTTTTTTAAGATTTCTCTGCCCGTAAGTGCTGATTTTGGTGATGCCTTGGTTTGGTGGTTTCTTCGCGTCTCCTTTTGCAGAAAAAACAGTTTTTATCCGTTTCGTAATGTTCGAGACTGATTGATTCCGAGTGCAATCGCAACATGTTTGTGAGAAAAAAACTGGAAACACTGATCGAGAGAACGCCGGAGAATTCTGCGCGAGATGAAAAAAAGAGAGAGAGAGAGACAAAAGGAACTATATTTTTTAATAGTTATATTTTCATCATTAATCAAGAATATTTTATGTGGTGTGCAACATGCAAACTCAGTGACCTTCCATATAGCGGGGTGGTTGCCAGGCACGTGCGGATGCTGATGATTGCCAAAAACATGTCCAATTACAAAACCAATTCGCTTGTCGCAGCGAGTCTCAACGCTATGCAGATGAGGAGTAGCGCGCAACTGATGCGGCATGCGCGTGCACTCACATACAAAACATTTGTTTGAAAAAATTGAGGTGTATTGCAACCTTGTAGTGTGCTTGAAACAATACTGTGCAGCAAAGGGTTTGCAGTGCCCTTGACCATGCCCATGGGGTTGATGCAATAACAGTACAGGACTGTAAGTGTACGCGTTCAAACCTGTCTTGATTCGTACTCGCTCACTGCATTTGGGTGCAAAATCTTCGAACTCAGGTCTCATAGCATTTGCATTGCATTGGATGTTAAAAAGGAGTTGCCTGAGCAACAGAAACTGTTGTCTCGTTAGCTGGAAGGATGAATTTGAACGTTAGGATCCTGCAGGCTAGGATATGGATCGGAGGTTCATGTCGGTTTTTGCAGACTTGGTCAAGGTTATTGTAGAATCTGAGGCAGATATTGAAAGGGGTGATGATAAATGTTTCCACAGCACCGTCGCAACAATCCCTGACACTTCCTGTTCAATAACATGGTGCTTTCGAATGCATGCGACTGTTTGCTCAGCGTGATTGTGGGCCTCTTTGAGTTTGTTTTTTTAGATATAAATTTGAAATTTCGAATACTTTAAGTAATCCCACGGAGATCTGAGAATCAGATTTTACAATCAGATCGACAGATATCATAGAAACATAGAAACCACGTTATCCATCAGGGAAACATGCTGTCCGTTTTGTGAGGGAAACTTTATCGTACTTGATGTATATAGAATGTGGCCGCTGCAGCTAGCCCCTAGGAACCTGTCTTGGAAAAGGTCAAAGCACTCACTTTTGTCACTTTGTCTCAAGCTTTGCGGGCGAGACAACCGGAAAGTTTCCCAGTGTGCCATGTCTGTCCCAAGTTCGAGGCCTCAGTTTGTTTGCAAGCACCCCTTGGTGGATGCTGCAAAACGAGCAAATGTGCATACAGTCGTGATTGACTTTTGGATTGACAACCATCAAACCGTTGATTCACAAACTCCGTGGGAGCAATTGCGGTCAGATTTGAAAAAATGCGTAAGTGAGACCCCTGATGACGTGATGTCGCGCCCTGATCGTCAACTTGGAGACTACTTTAGCAAACTTCTGAAGCTGCCCACACGGCTCAGTGCATTTCCATCAATGCGCCGGCAATTGAAGACAAGCGGAGGGATAGGTCCACGACCCAGTGATTTTCCTGTAGACATGCACTTGTTGACTGCCACGTTTGTCCATGTTGCCTCCTGTGAACACGAAACAGTTGTATTTAGGACGAGCATTCGGTCACCTTGAGGCAATCTATCCCGGACTTTTCATTTGGAGCTGCTTGCTGCCGAGAATGGCTTTGCAACTACAAGTTGTGATTCAGCGAGTACGGATGGTTCAAGGACACACAGCTTTTGCGTGGTTAAGTGGTTAAGTCAACTTGAGCATTGCCTTGGTGCAGAGGACACCAGAATTCTGGCGAGAATATGATCCATCTGAGCCCTGGCTGCATGAACCCGTGGCTGTTTTGCAATGTGCTTTGGATTGCCCCTCTGGTACAAGGTGGCACGGACGATCAGCGCATCTTGCAGAAGCTAGTCTTTAACTGAGTCTGCAAAGCAAGTTTTAAGGCACATGATTTCATAGCACATCATCTGCACATCAAATCAGGCCAATTTCTCTGCCTTGTAAAGATTGTATAGTCGCTATAGTCGAGAAGTGTCGCCGTGATTGTCCTCAAGTCAGGTCCCTGGTGCTGTACTATCTGCCGCTTGGGACAGTGACGCACATGAACCTGCTTAGACTCCCTGGCTTTCAAAACAAGAGAACTCAATGGGTTTACTTTTGCTTCGGACTCACTACCAATGGTAGCTATACGTATATATATATATACACATAGTAAGTTATTTTGTTTCTTTCGGAGAGTATGAATCTGGTCATTACAGTTTGCTGGATTTTAACGGTCGCAACTTTGCGATGAAGTACCCATCTGTTGTGCAGGGAAGAGGACATCTAAATTGATGCTATGTCAACCATCCTGTCTTTAATCGAAGAATTAGGGTCTGGCACCATGATGATCTGTTTGAAAGACATGGAGAATCGGCATTTTCCGCGTGACCCTTCCCCAAGCTTGGAAGACAAGTTTTTTTGGTGGAAGGTTGCCAGCTTGTTTAGATTTCATGCAACTTGCAGAAAGAATTCGCAACTTCGATTGGCATGTAGAAAGGCTTGACAGTACAGAAAGTTTTTCTTTTATTTTTTAAGGAGTGAATTTGAACACAAGTCTGCTTGACTCAGCCAAAGAAAACAACTTCAAACGTTTTTGCAAATAGTCGGAAACAGGTTGAGGATTGTCGGTTTGGACGGGATGAGGTGACCAACTTGAGGCTGAGCAAATGCACAGTCCTGCAAGCCGCGACAATCTAAGTTGTCACGGCCCAGGGTACGACCGTAGTTAGGCTTGCACAACGCCGAAGCTGCTTGATTTTAGTATGATACCATTTGATGTCCATAGTCCATCATGGTATTTTGTACAGTGACTTATGGTTGTGCCTGCCAGTGCACCGCCAGAAAAAGGACAGATGGGTCTTTAAGCGCCAACAGAGTGATTAGACCCAACTGGCAATGAGCACGAAGTGCTGCTGTAAATTGGAACTGACTTGGTGTTTCTGAACATGGCAGGTCTTCCTCAGTTTTTGACAGACAGTCCTCCAAAGATGCTGGTCAGCTCCCACACAGATGTTTAGTTCAGACACTTGCATTGCAACTAGTTAGTTGGTGCAAAAAGGGCTCAGGGAGCGCTGAGTTCACTTGAGAGACATCGGAAAGAATAGCCACTGAACGGCAAGTTTGGATTTGATTTGCGCTAAGTTTTCTAGCTGCAGGCCAAGACTCTCAAGTTTCTGTGAGAATGTCGCCCACTGTGAATAGTCCCTGCCACTTCACTGGAATTTTCTGATGATATACTTCAATGTCGTTGGAGCGGTATCAAGAGGAATATGCTTGGCAATCTCTCCTTCAGCTCATTCGAAGTCTGCCAGCCGACCTAGAGGACGACAAAAAATCCGAGCTACGCTTCGACGGTCTGTCCAAAGAGTTTCGCTTGTCAGATGTCTATAAGGTGTTTCCAAAGTTGCGGCAACGTGTCAACCAGCATGGAGGTTTGGCAAAATTGTGGAATAAATGCCACGGTTTGTCAAATGGTGGCTGGCAAGAGGATGAAGCATGGCTGAAACTCATAGATGACCTGAAGGCATGTGCTGAGCCTGATCTTTATGCCTTGTCAGACAAGCAGTTGGGCAATCGTTTAAGCCATCGCTTAGACCTCGGCCTCCGTTTGCAGCAATTCCCGGAGCTACGACGACGCATCAAGAGCGAGGGTGGCCTGTGCCGGGATCTTAGGTGGACTGTGGATCTGTTTTCCTAGTCGACAGTCTTAGCCGTCTCAGCGGGTAGTGGACAGATTGAGTCAGAATGAAGAACCTGGCCTTGTTTCAAGTTTTATAGTGCAGATATGATTTGTCCACTCTGGAGTTATACTGATGATAAGCGCTTGACTCTTGTTCAAGAATCAAATGATGAGTTCAAAGGTCACATTTGGAAAGCCATCATTGCCGAAGCAGGGCAAACAGGTGTGGCATGAACTGACTGTGCTGGCTGTGTTTCTGCTTTGCTTGCGGGTGCCTGATTCAATCCATTCATTTAAGGGCAACATGGCAGAAACCATTGTTTTTTTTACCATCAAATGTGGTGGTTGCTGATTCTTTGCATGATTCTGAAGCCAGCGAATCCGAATCCGACAAATTGCTGCCACTTTTTTTCTTTTCGCGAGCAGGACCTTCACCCTATCCATGCGGTTGGCCAGATGCCCGGCAGCCCCAGGCAGACTGGCTCCCAGTCTTTCTCGAGCTGTCAGGGACAGCTTTCCCGCTATCACCCCTTGATCCTACGCAGACAACGTGGTCCTGGACTTCTCAGGGCCCTGGCGGGTCCCTCTTTGGATTCGAAATGAAATCAGCAGATTATCATCGTGAGGAAACACCTGAGGCCTATGATTCCTATGATGGAACTTCGCGGACAGGCGCTCAAAAAGCTGGAAGCGAAGTTGTTGCAAGTGACCTGGCAAACCTAATTAGAGATTTGAAGCTTTTGATTCACGTTGCAAACGGGTGACGCAAAATCATGCGCAAGGCAACTCGTTCTGTCTTACTTGCCAACCTAGGACGATGCGTGCGCCATATCTGGATATTTGCTGGTGATGAGGCGTTAGACTCCAATGGTCCTTGGGCAGATGCTTTGAAAGATTGGTGTTCCAAATCCAAGTGTCCTTACATGCCAGTGGCACTTGAAGGAAAGCGAGTCCTGCATACTGCAGGGGCTGTTTCAAATATTTTGTACAAGATAGACTCATGTTCTCTCCTTGATACCGACAATCCCTTCGGACTTGATGCTGCAACACTCTCAGATGCGGACCTGCATCTGGTCATGTCCGAGAACAGATGGAGATGTTTCCCTAAATCTTCAGCAGAAGCTGCTCATGTCAACCGCTTTGACAACATCAATCACACCCTGCGAATGTTTGCGGTCGATGGCAAATGTACTAGAGATGTCTATGGAGGCACTGAGAAGCTCTTGCGCAGAACTTTCAAGAGTATGCACGTATTTGGTGAAACCGACTGGTGGGGAGAGGCTTGCTACCTGCATTTGGATCCCCAAATATATGCAAACTACCTGTGCAAGAACCGCACAGCGGCTCTCACCGATTCTCGCTTTGTGGAAGAGGTGTGGAAGAGTTTGTGCAGCCGTGCGACAAATGGGATAGTGGTACAGAAATCGCGTCCAGATTTGCCTGAGTTAATGGACTCATGCGCGGCCGCTGGAGAAACTACTCTGGTGGTTGGGGACTTAGTTCTAATTGAAATTGTGAAGTGTCTGGAGACTGAGAATCAGGAACACGAGAGAAGTGCGAAGGAGCTGGGGAACTGATAGATTGGTGCATTCTCAATGCACTGGTTGGAAAATCACTTGGCTGATCCGGTATCGGCATTCCAAAAATTAATCAATTTTCACAAATCTCGCAGTTCTTTCCGTTGCTCACTTCTCTTCAATATCTTTCCCAAAAAACTCTTTCCACTTTCGATCTCGCAAAATCAATGTTCTTCAAATCTCTCTGACTTGTTTCACTTCTCGATTTGTGCAATGCCTGTGCACTTCTCAATTTGTGCGTGTGCAGTCAGCTCAAAGAAACATGACGGCAGGCAATGCAGGCAAACTAAGAAACACGCAGTGCGCCTTTTTTGACGCACCTTGAGCCAAGTCCCAACATTGAAGGCTCTGGTTGAAGTCATCGCCAAAAGTCTTGCCACCTAAGTAAGATCGCCTGAGAAATCAAGCGGGCACAAACACTCATCCTCAAGGCCCTGCATGGTCAGAGCAGGGAGTTGGAATCTTCCGCAAGAGCCTTCACTACGTTCAGTTTCAAACGAGATTCAGCCAACTTGCACCGCGACAGCACTTTGGTCAGCGCATCAGCCGGGATGTCAGATCCGTAGATTTCGACACCTTCCGATTTGGCATGATCTCTCAGGTATGAACAACGGATGCCAAAATGGCGTGTTCGAGTAGGCACGGTAGCATCGGTGCCTTTCAGTAAGTTCACTATGCAGGCTGCATTGTCTCCCAGGTAGGTTTCAGCTGATTCGCCAATCAGTTTTTCCAACATGACTTTCACAGGAATACCAGTCTGAAAGAAAGCACTCCAAGCAGTCAAGCTTTGTCGCTGGGATTTCCATGCTAGGACGTGTGGGCCCCACTTCACTACGACACCGGTTCTACTGCGGCTCGCACCTGGTGCTAAACTGGCATCACCAAAGCACCAAAGAGCATCCGACGGCCGATCGCCACCTGCAACTGCTTCGAAGAAGATGCCGTGCTGGCGTGTTGCGCTCAGGTAGCGCCAAACTCCCTGACACAATTTCAGAGCAAGGCCGGGATGCAAGGCAGATATGCAAGCAATTGATCCAACAGTTGCTGCTACATCAGGTCTTGTGCGGAGTGCTAGCCACTGCAGACAACCAATCTCTCCTTGAGCTTGACGAAGAGTGTCGGAAAAGGAGCCATCGCGGGGCATGGGTTCGATAGTGCCTTCTGGAACAGTTGGCAGCGACGGGGAGCCCTTCATGTGCAGCCACCCGCGCTTCGTTAGTTCCTGAACCAGCCACGGGGTTTGGTGAAGAAGAAGCCCTCCATCTGGAGACCGGCGGATCTTCATTCCAAGAAAATTCAGCTCTTTCTGCACAGGAAGAGTGACATCATCAATGGTCAAAGTGTCACCATCTGCTAATCCACCACCGCAAAGGACCCCTTGAAACTTCAAAGCCCAGAGAGACTTCAGTTCAACGCCAAGGGTCTTCAACAGTTCAGGCTTAGCTACAACCAAACCATCATCGACATACATCATGAAAAGGCCAACGCATTCATTCTCTGACTTCAGGATCCAAGTGCCAGTCTCAATTGTTTCCATGATGACCGTGCCCGTGGACAAGTGGAGAACTCTGTTGTTAAGGGTCTTGTTGCGCTCCTCTTCCCATAGTTTCGGGGACTTTCGCAATCCATAGATGGCGCGTAAAGCGAGCCACAAGGTATTTGGGAACAACAAGCCCAATCGTGCCAGTACTGGAGGAGGACGGATCAAAAACTTTTCATCCAGCAATGCGTTCAGGAAAGCACAGGAAATGTCCAACACCATGGCCGTCCAGCCAAAGTGCCTGGCAAGCATCGACAACAATAATCGGAAAACTTCTTGCGATGGATTGCTTGATGAATTTTCAAGCATGTGTGGGCTCGTGTCTTCCTGGAAATTCCCACAAGCCACCAAACGCACACTAGCAGTCCATGCGTCGTGAGCTGCCGTTGCTGCCGCCGAAGCTCATCTTTCACTGACGCTGTGGCTCAAAACTGGCTTGCGAGCCAGCACCAGCTTGCTGGGAACTGGAGTTGGTAGTTCGCTGAGGGAACTCATAGACCATGTTTCTCGTGCTTCTTCACGAGTGACCGCCTTCAGCATCCCCTTTTCTGACATTGTGTCCAATTCTGTGTGTAGGCCTTGTAGCCACTTTGCTCTTTCCAGCTCAGAAACGCTATCATCCCACAGAACACTTTGGTGAACTGATTCTGCTGAAGCTCTTACCAAGTCATGTGAGGAAACTTCGGCTTGGTTCATATCCTCTTCTGTCTGGTGAGGAAGAACATGGTAGCGAACCTGCACACTGCTGTCGGCCTTGTCAGTAGACTTGGCAGCTTTGACAGCTGGCTTGGGAAAAATTTTGTTTGAGAGCAAATTTCCGTGGCCAAACCTACATAAATCTTCCCAAGAGGAGTCACGGTTGCTGGTCTTCATCATGTTCATGATGTCATCATCACTCATGTCGGGTCCTGCTGTGCGCTCTTCAAAGGTCATATGCTCCTCCCACTCCGCAGGCGCTGCCCACTTCACCTCTCCTTTGTCTGACACCCAAACTCTCTTGTCATCCTGCATCTCCAGCTTCCACAATTTTTTTTGCTGAAGGCGCGATCAGAGGCATTCGGGTCTTGACAATTTGAGGCTTGCCACCCACATTTCGCTTCACCAGGACTAGAGCTCCGTTGGGGATTGACTCATCTTCGCACAAGAAGACTGCTTCATCCAGCCTGCTGGAGAACACCTCCGGATTCACTTTTCTCACAAGGACCTTTTGTCCTGGTCTGGGCACAGTTGCAGGGATTGGCAATGCAAGCGCTCTCTGTCGGGCAACAAACACTGCATGCCGGGCTGCAAATGTCCAAAATGTGACAGGCAAGCAGCCGTGCAAAAGGAAACGAGTTGCATCATCTTTGACTGTCTGCACCATCCTTTCTGCAACCCCATTTGACTCTGGAGAATGCGCTGCAGTGGTCGTTTTCCACAACCCAAGGCTGTGAATCTGGCCGACCACTTTCTTGGCAATGAATTCACCCCCGCAATCTGAATGAACCCTGAAATACGTTGCGACACCACCGGTCAGGGACGAAATCTGAGCCATAACTTGGAGCAATGCCAAGAGCACTGTGGAAGATTCTTTGCTTGGCAGCGTACGGATGAAAGGAAGAACTGTCCCATTCGCAAGCCGCAGCGCTGTCACGAGCATGTATCGATGGCCATCCACACTCACAGGGTGGGGGCCAGACAGGTCCATTGACAAGACCCCGTTCGAGATGCTTTCTGCTGCAAGTTTTTTAGTTTCCTGCAAACTTTGACGTTCTGCGCAGGTCATCATCTCCATATTCTAAAGTTGAAAGCCTTCGCATCTGCCGTTGCTCATACACACTCTCTGCTTGCTCAAAACGTTCTTGGAGGAAAAGGGCCCAACGTCTACCAACAGCATGAGAATGGCTAGCAATTCAGCCTTCCAAACACTCAGCTGCAGCGCTCGCTCCCATGATTCTCCAGACTCAAACTCAAGTTTGGGCACAACCTTCAAAATCTTCCAAACGCTGTCCCTTCTATAATCAATTCCATCATCGACAAAATACATTGTGTTCAAACTGGGAAAACCGGGCTTGCTGGTAGGGACAGGCAGTCCCGGCGGCTGCTGGGCCTCACTCTGGTCAGCATTCCACCATGAGCCCTCCTCATATTCATGTCTTTTGTCAGGCGACGGGGTGAGTGCAAAGTGCACAGGCGCATGTTTCTGTACCGGAGTCACGTCACCTCCCTGCTGTTCTTGTTCAATTTGAACATCCACTGGCTGTTGATGAAAGCCTCGCTGGCTCATCTGGTTCAACTGATCCAGTAGAATCTGGTGCTGATCTTCCAGCATTCTCACTCGCAGACCTGCATCTGTTTGGCCAACAGCTGCCCGATCTGCCTGCTCTTTGGCTTTCATTGCGTTGACTGCAATATCACTGACTGACTGATTGCTTTGCTCCACTGAGGAACGCAGAGCCGCCAATGCTTGCTGCATTGAGGTCATTGCTTCACCCATCTGCTTGATGGTGCCTTCTAGGGATGCAATCTGTTCACTGTGAAATTTCTCCAGTCTTGTTAGCCTGTCAGCCATCATGAACTCTCGCTGACTACTCTCGGTGAGCTGCTGCTCAAGATTGGCTATTCGATCGCTGAGGCCTTGAGTGCTCGTGGCCACACTTTGTAAAGCACCTGCAAGAATCTCAGTTCGACCACAGAATCTCTGCGGCAATCTGGCCGACTGCCTGGCTGATTTCCACCCCGTCATCAACTTGCATGGAATCGCGACCTCTGGTTGCCAAAGTTGCTGCTGCAGCAGCTCAGCTGGCACTGTCACTTCAGACATCTCGACTCTGCGCAAGTAGGCCGGAAAAGGTGGAACCATTGGAACATTGAATGGAGCTTCTGCTGGGTTTGGGCTCATGACCTGAAATTGTGAAGTGTCTGGAGACTGAGAATCAGGAACACGAGAGAAGTGCGAAGGAGCTGGGGAACTGATAGATTGGTGCATTCTCAATGCACTGGTTGGAAAATCACTTGGCTGATCCGGTATCGGCATTCCAAAAATTAATCAATTTTCACAAATCTCGCAGTTCTTTCCGTTGCTCACTTCTCTTCAATATCTTTCGCAAAAAACTCTTTCCACTTTCGATCTCGCAAAATCAATGTTCTTCAAATCTCTCTGACTTGTTTCACTTCTCGATTTGTGCAATGCCTGTGCACTTCTCAATTTGTGCGTGTGCAGTCAGCTCAAAGAAACATGACGGCAGGCAATGCAGGCAAACTAAGAAACACGCAGTGCGCCTTTTTTGACGCACCTTGAGCCAAGTCCCAACATTGAAGGCTCTGGTTGAAGTCATCGCCAAAAGTCCTGCCACCTAAGTAAGATCGCCTGAGAAATCAAGCGGGCACAAACACTAATGGCCGCAGAATGCCGCAATATTCTCTTTGCGTCATTAGTGTATGTATGTAATGTAATGTAAGATTGAACGCGCAATGGCGGAAATTTTCACATCAGCCACTCAGCCACTCAGCCACTCTGGCAGAGTGGCTGAGTGGCAGAGTGGCTGCAGAGTGGCTGAGTGGCTGCTCCAGCTGCTCTGGCAGAGTAACTGAGTGGCTGAGTGGCTGCTCCTCCAGCCACTCCGGCAGAGTGGCTGAGTGGCTGAGTGTCTGAGTGGCTGCTCCTCCAGCCTCTCCGGCAGAGTGGCTGAGTGGCTGCGTCGGCCACTCTGGCAGAGTGGCTGAGTGGCTGAGTGGCTGCTCCAGCCACTCTGGCAGAGTGGCTGAGTGGCTGAGTGGCTGCTCCAGCCGCTCTGGCAGAGTAACTGAGTGGCTGAGTGGCTGAGTGGCTGCTCCTCCAGCCACTCCGGCAGAGTGGCTGAGTGGCTGAGTGTCTGAGTGGCTGCTCCTCCAGCCTCTCCGGCAGAGTGGCTGAGTGGCTGCGTCGGCCACTCTGGCAGAGTGGCTGAGTGGCTGAGTGGCTGCTCCAGCCACTCTGGCAGAGTGGCTGAGTGGCTGCATCAGCCACTCTGGCACAGCGGCTGAGTGGCTGAGTGGCTGCGGCAGAGTCATCAATCAATGAAATGGACGGATAAAGTTTTAAACATTTCAATATCCAAGCAAGAGTATATATATGACATTGACAGCAACTTGATTTACAAACATAACCCTGTAAACTTCAACTGCCATAGCTACATAACTTCAACGGATTGATTAAGAATGGCCACATATACACTTTGAACCATAACCTGAAATCACTTAAAAAGAAAGAGAGTGGTGATGAACTCTACAAGTTCAGGATTGGAAACAACTATTACAACGACTATTTGGTGAGCAAAGAATGGCTATGGTGTGCTGTAACCAGAGCAACAGATTTCAATAATGTATATTTTTCAAAAATGATACAGCCGACGAAGGTATGTTTAAGAATTTGGTAGTTAACTATTTTAAAAACAAGGTTGAAGGTCACAAAGGACAAGACAGAAAAGGAGGAAGAGAAATAGTTGATGAATACATTGATGAATATGTTTGAAGATGTTCAAGGGTTGTTGTGCAAAGTGTGGAGTTAAATTTAATCTTGATACCAGAGGTGGCAAATTATCAAGTAACTTTACGGCGCAGAGAGGTGATAATGGACTGTGCCATTCTATTGACAACGAGGCTTATTGTTGCCACTGCAGTTCTTCTTCACATTAGATTTTTTCATAATAATAAACTTAATAAAATATTGGTATGAGTAAGCAAGAAATCATAGGAAACATATATTTTTATAAAGCAGGGTTTAGTTCCAAAAACACTACTTTGAAGGATGCAAGAGAGAAAAACAAATCTATTACTATGAAAGATGTTGAAGATTTTTTTCAACAAGAGTGTAGAGATAAAAATGAACCCGAGAGGCTATAACAGCTTTGTTGTTCCACATAACAATCATAGATACCAAGTTGATATATTCTTTATTTCCAAAAAAAATAAAGGTAAAACAAAGATACAGAGCTGGATTAGTCTGTATTGATTGTTTGAGTAAGTATGCTGTCGTAGTCCCAGTAAGAAGGAAAGAGACAGGCAGTGTTATTCAAGGAACAAAGAAAGCGATAGAGAAGATGGGCAAGGAACCTGAAATCATATACACCGACGACGAGAAAGCTATAGCAAGTGGTAAATTCCAAGCATATGTAGAAAGCGAAGGCCGAACTGTATAGGACAAGAGGCCACCCTGCTTTTGCCGAGCGTTTTATAAAAACTGTTAAAGACAAATTATGCAAAAGAGTTGAGAACGATGAAAATAATTATATAAAAAACGAATATACAATGGATAGACTACATAGATGAAATTGTGTTAACTTACAATAATAAAGATGTGCATTCCTCTACTGGTCAAACACCGTATAAAGCCAGAGATACAGACAATGAATTCAAGTCAAGATTAAACATTGCAATGAAAGCAAAGAAACGGAGGCTCTATCCTGAACTATCTGTGGGAGACAAAGTAAAAATCAAAAGGAAGAAAGCAACAACGGAGAAGGAGAGAACCTCACACTTTTTGAAAGGTGAGTATACCGTAGAGTCCATTGATGAAAAAATGAATCAAACATATTATACATTAGAAGGATACAATAGACCACTATTGAGGCATCAATTGCTGAACATATAAATTACCATGTATAGGAAATCTGCTTAAAGGAATATTATATATATATATTTTTTAGCGAAATGTCATTCAGTGATACAAGTAGTGAACGTGAAATCAATCAAGAAGAATACATCAAACAAAAAATCTTAAGCTGTAAATGTAGTGAATATGCAACAATAAAATGAATTATCAAAAAAAAATACCGATGGTATTGGTAATAAAATTTGTGAATATGTAGCCTGTAAAATTTGCTCAAATATAATGAGTCATTTTGATTCAATTGAAATTGATATTAACCCTTGTGACGATGATAATATTGATGAACAAATTCAAATATACGTTTATAATACTTTAGTGAATGAAATTCCAGACCAGATGATAAAATGAATTTAGTATTAAATGAAAAAGAAATGAGACATTATCAAGATTATGGACAAGGATTGAAACATGTTGTAACAATTCATATTCTACGGTTGCATTCTGCATGTTAGAAATGAATATTAATGATGCTGATTGTATGGATGATAACTTTAATCATGAAACCTTTATAGATTGCTTAAGAGAAATATTGTTGCATATCAAAGACAATGAACAGTTTATTGGAAATACAATTATTGACGAGAATAAGTTTGACAAAGTGTATGAAAGAATACAACAAGGAATTTATATTTGAATCCCATAAATTTTCATATCAGATAATAATAGATAATATATATATATATATATATTTATGGCATAAGGAAATACACTTACAATTGAAAGGATAATACCTTATAATAGTATGGAGAGTAGAAAGTGCACAAAGTGCAAGAAAAACAAAAATGGTGACGAGTTCAATGGAATGAATAGAATGTGTATTGAATGCTTGGACAAACAAAAGGAGAGTAACAAAGTATATAATCAAAAGGAAGTATTCTGCGACATTTGCCAACGGAATGTGAAACAATGCAGGTTGTCCAAACATGTCAAAACCGACAGGCATTCCAGCAAGGAAAAACTCAAAAAGGAAGAAGAGAAAAAACAAACATATATGGAGGAATACTTAAAAGATGATGAAGCCAGAATTGCAAAATTGAAACAAATCTGGAAAACCATTACACCAAAAAACTTTAAAGTATTTAACCCCATATTTTTTTCATATCATAATATATGAAAATTTATGATTCGAACATAGGAATGTTAGACGTGGATGATTTAGATTTATGATATTATTTTATAATAATATATTATGATAAAATATTATGATGAAACTTTATGATCTGAATTTATGTGATGATGGATGATGCTGAAATGATGTGGGATGATGATGTATGAAATTATGTGGTCTTACTTTGTGTTGATACTGTGATGAAATGATATGAACTGTTGTGAAAATGAACTGTGGTAAATGATGAAATGATGGAGGTGGATGATATGACCTTAGGTGTGTTTGTGTCTAGCTATATCTACATATATATATAATTTCTTTAATAACATACATATATGAAAACATTGGAACTATAACCAAATGTCTCATTCCTTTCGCCATGATGATCCGCAGGGACCCACAGAGCGAACCCCTTTAACACAAATGATTAATGACTTCTTTCTCACAACCCTTTAACACAGATGTTTGCCTGTTTGCCTAAGATTGCATTCAACCCATAAGAATATATGCCCCAGTGCCTGGATGAATAAAGGAAGGGGCCCTAAATTAGCATAAAACCTCACTTGAGATACTACCCAGACCTAAGAAAAATTAGTAATATTGCTTACACTCCAATGGCTCTCCAGCCACTCAGCCACTCCAGCCACTCAGGGTACACTCAGCCATATGTATGTATATATGTAATGTACATACGTACGTACGTACGTACGTACGTACGTACGTATGTATGTATGTATGTATGTATGTATGTGCGTAATGTAAGTAATGTAAGTAATGAATGTAATGTATTAATGTTTTAATGTATTGATGTATTAATGTATTAATGTATGTATGTATGTAATGTAATGTAATGTAATGCAATGCAATGCAATGTAATGTAATGTAATGTAATGTAATGTAATGTATGTACCAGTATGTATGTAATGCTATGCTATGCTATGCTATGTAATGTAATGTAATATAATGTAATGTAATGCAATGTAATGTAATGTAATGTATGTATGTATGTAATGTATGTATGGTATGTATGTAATGTAATGTAATGTAATGTAATGTAATGTAAGTATGTATGTATGTATGTATGTAATGTAATGTAATGTTATGTTATGTTATGTTATGTTTGTATGTTTGTATGTTGGTATGTTAGTATGTTAGTATGTTAGGATGTTAGTATGTTAGTATGTTAGTATGTTAGTATGTTAGTATGTATGTATGTATGTTTGTTTGTTTGTTTGTTTGTTTGTTTGTTATACTATAATGGCAACTTGTATAGAATCTGCAGAAACAATAGCCAACATTCCATATTTATGTTGATTGATTCATTGGTTGATTCATCGATGTACTTGACTGGTAAGTTGGCTGCTTCTTTGCCAGTTTAGGTGGTGCTGACGCCATGAGTAGCTCCCAACCTGCAGGGCGCCCAGCCTCGTAAGTGGCCTGGTTTGTGCGCACGAATGCATTGGTGAGCTGACAGTTGAGCAATGCCCGAAAATTGTGGTTGATCATTACCTTGCCGTGTTGCATTTTGGTATGTTGTTTTGCGGGGATCATGGACTGCTCCAACATGACAACGCGCAACCAAGAAACCAGTGCGGAAAAACGTGTTGACAGTGCCTAAGCCTCAGATTTGTAGTTTGAGCTCGTGAGTCCAGCAGAACTGCTTGCACTCTGTAAATCTAAGGCTGGCAATGGACACCCCCCCACTTTGGTACATTTATATGTGTTTGTTTTTGATATTTTTTAATTAAAACTTGGTGGATTGCCATTGACATGTTTGATTCTCAAAACAAAACAATTTCCGGGACATATTTTTGGTGGGACCGCTTGGTGAGATTCCATGTCAAAAAATCAAATTCACAAGTCAAAAAGGTGGAGGAACAGGCAAAATTAACAGTATGTTCTGTTCCGGTTCTCATACTTTGATTTTTTTCCCCCAACAGCAAAACTTTGCTATGGGGTCTTTAGCCCAGATTAGCTCCGGTGCGATCCGGTGCAGCTTCAACACTAGGTTCCGGACAAGGTTCCGGAGGGTCTGGTGCAGATACCTTGTGAGGTTCCGGAGGGTTCCGGTGCAGATACCTCGTGAGATTCCGGAGGGTTCCGGTGAAGATACCTGTTGAGGCTCCGGAGGGTTCTGTGCGGTTCCGGAGGGTTCCGGTGCAGATACCTTGTGATGTTCCGGAGGGTTCCGGTGAAGATACCTTGTGAGGTTCCGGAAGGTTCCGGTGCAGAGACCTTGTGAGGTTCCGGTGGGTTCTGGTGCAGATGCTTTGTGAAATTCGAAAGGGTTCCGATGTTTTTTATGGCATAAGCACTTAATTGTTTTTGGTCCATCGCTTAATTTTATGGCATGAGCACTTTTTACGGCAAAAACATAGAAACTTTCAGGCTGTTGGGGATAGCAACTGAGTTTATTGTGTTTTATTTAGCAAACATTTCCTCAAGACTTTGATGGTACATGTACAAAATTATGTATATGTACTATATAGATGAATTGCCTCCGCTTGTTGCTGGGGCCAACAGCCCAGCAACACATGACCGGGGACCATTGCGAAGTTCACTGGCCATCGACCATCCTCTAGGTATCAAGTGGTTCTGTTGAATTTTAGCAGAAATCGAAATCATGTGAACCTTGCTTTCGCAACATGATATATTTTTCTTCAAGCACTCCAACCGGAAGCACGCACATCAAAAAATGTAGCCTGGCTACCTAACTTCTGTATACTTTAGTGCACGTTCTTCCCAAACAGCGTTAGCTTGGGGGTCTCAGCCCAGATCATGTTTCGGTGCAGCTTCGGCTGCAGGTTCCGGGGAGATTCCTGTGCGGGTTCCGGGTTGGTTCTGGGTGTGGTCGTTTGCAGGGCTACAAAGTGCAACCTTGGAGCGCGAAACAGGGTGCCAAACACCGGTTCATAAGGATCCTTATGATGCAGTGTTTTGCGGCCTTGATTTTCACTTTATATTTTAAACTCTTGAAGGTTTGATGGTCCAAATGTAGTTTTGAAGATCTTCGAAGGCTTTTGCGGTTACAAAGTGCAAACTTGGAACGCAAAACAGGGTCCACACAACACCAACCCTTATGATGCAGTCGGCCTGGTTTCTGCAAACAAATCTTTGATTTGGGACCACCCCTTTCAACTCCTTCCACATCCACACATCAGCAGTGTTCGTGGCCCATAAGTCTTCTGGAGTCCCAACTTAATTATTTGTTGGATTTGTTTGTCTGTGGCGCATTGTGTTGTGTTGGGTGTATGTGTCAGAGCATGTGTTGAAGTCACTATTGTCGGGCGTTTTGTGGGCGACACGGGCGTGCATCCAGCCAGGCAAACTTGCACAAATTTGGCTGGTCTCCTTGCCGTACGGCCTTTTCTGCATGTGCAATCAGGATAAACACCTCGTTTTCTGAAGGGGATGCGTTCATCGCGATAGGTGATGTCAAAGAAAGAGCAAGAACGCCCAAAGCTTTCATTCCTCGCTTAGTCTACTTTTCGTCCACCCCTTCTCAAGTTGTCATGACTAGTGACTAGTCATGATCATTTCGCTTTAGAGAACTGGATGTTGGGGTTGAGTGGCTCCTGCGAGAGATTTAAATCTATCACTTAAATAAACTGACCTGCCTCAACCAACCGATGAGCTTATCTTATTGTTTCTCCAGTTGGATTGGTTCGTCAGGCTTGAGGTTGGCATGGCTTCTGGTATCGACAATCCGCTGTTCCCAATCGAGATTGGGATTTGGTGAAGATGTCGATGCGAAATGGCTAGTTGTGTACCTTTTTGGGGATGGCTGCTTCCTGAGTTTCAAAGGAGTCTGCTTTGGTGTCTTGTTGGGCTTGTCCATGGGGGACATCCCAATATGGCCATTTTTGGGGTGAAAATCATGGTAACTCATTGCGGGGTTACCATTTTGAGACAACCTTGGTCCAATTTTATTCTCTTGCTTCTGAAAACTCTTTGCGGGTGTTTCCTCCTGAGTTTTGTTGATTGAGTGCCACCAGCGGCAACCAGCATACCACGCTGTTTTGGTAGCATTCGGGCGTCCAACTCGCTCCCGAAAGCACTGGTCTGAGTCCGGGTGCCTTCTTCCTGTTCTTCACTTGTTTCTGCAATCATCATTCATGTCGGCGCATTTTCAGGGTGTGAGTAGTTGTCAGGCAAGTCTCCGGGTCTAGTAGAGTTGAGACCCCCAAGATCTCTGAAGCATAGTCACCACCCCTCCTGATTCGCCCTGCGACTTGTGAGTCTTTAAGATTGGATCTTATGATGTAGTGCAACTTGGGTGTTGTCCGACCTCCTGCTGTGCTTCAAACATTGCATGGTTGCGCGCGTTGCAGCTATCACCTTAGTAAATGATTTGATTTTTGCTGAAAGTGTCTGCACTTTTTTTGACGCAAAGGTCAAGACCTTCAAAAATTGAACTCAACGCGTCCAAGCGTCCGAAGTGAGCGTCAACTTGATCCAGGCAGAGTTACCAGTTCAACTCCTGCAGTTGATTCCGAGAAAAAAGGGCGGGATCATTGTCCGTCAATTCTATAAGTTTCTTCAAAAGCATCACTCGAACTGCACATGGTCATTAAGCATTTGACGATGTTGCGAAAAACTTGGAACTGGACCAGCTCATGGCTCAGCTCTTGTGACAGGACAAGACAAACTCTTGTGGAGAGATCGTGGTAGATATGCAGTCCACCATGTTTTCACACAGATTGACTGTAAACTTCCAGCAGTGCAGCCATCACTTCCCGCATGACTTTCTTGTTGCAGCCCTTATGCATATGGCAAGCCGTTTTCTAGCCACCTTCGACACCGGGTTTTGAGCTTAACCTTGCTGCTGGGGCTTCTAAAGATGCGATGGTTGTTTGGAGCAGGGTGCAGAGGAAACTTCAAAGGAAACAAAGTGCTTTGTTCCCAGGTGTTTACAATATGCTGCATTTGAGGTCTTCCTGTCCATGACATGGGCTCTAGTTTATTTCATTTGCAGAATAAGGCAAAGTGGGGACCTTGTTTCTCCCTTCTTTGTGAGGATCGAGCATATGCTGCGAAGATGATCCCGGTCGAGCTGATTCTTCACAGTCGCAGCAGGCCTGTGTGAACCAGCTCAGTTTTGACCGTGCCTTTGCCTCCTGTGAATGGCGAATAGCATCTTCATGCAAAGGGCATCATTGCTGTGGAACGATTAGTGGCATTCAGGCAGGGCGAGAAGGTTTCCTTGGGCGATGCAATTCTGAAACCAAAAGGTCATAGTTTCCAGTCTGGGTTTCCAGTCTGGGCATATCTTCTCACATTTTTCAAACTCCCAGGTTGAGAGCCGTGCTTAGGACAATTTGAGAATGAGAGATCAAGAAGGAGCGCTGTACACATTTTCAAAACCTCTAGGCTTGATCCGCTTGCCCTGATGTGCAGGCTCCTGTATTGGCAGGTAGGTTCTTCCAGCAGTCTGCGCAGAGCATCAAGCCATCCCATTTGTTCGGCCTTGAAGGACAGCTTCCATCAACTTTGCCACAACAGTGACAGATTCCCCGAGTTGCTCATTACCTCAGAGGCGTGCATATTCTTTCCAGACTTTTTGCGTGGACTTGAAAAAACCATGAAATATCCCAGATGAGTTGGACAGTAGACACACCCAAATTCAAGCTTCAAAGTCTCAAAGAGTGGCTCCCGAGCCAGGTAGGGCACTGCAATCTAGCGGACATGGAGTTGACTCACAGGGTCCAGATCCGAAGGTCTTTCAGGACATATTGAGAACGGTTCCCGGCTTACCATTGAGACAGAGGTTGAGACAGCGCTTCTAGCCTGTCCTGGAACTGATTCCTTAGATTTATGGATGAGCGCAGGAGTCTTTCCGCTGTTGCTCTTTCAACGTATCCGGTTTGAACCTTGATTTCGGTGCTGATCAGATGTTCAACCAGATCTTCGGAACAAAGCACAATGTACAGGTTTGCTTTGCTTTGTTCAGGCTCACAGCGTCCAATGCCTTAACATGTTGTACCAAGTGCAGGTGCAACCTGCTTGCAGTCTGGAAACTGTTTCTGGAAACTGTTTGCCACCAGAGGCCACATGAAGACATGCCCACAGTGATGTGTCATGTTCTTGCTTTAAGCTTGTTTCAACCCACGTCGCTCTGCTATTTGCGATGACCAGTTCTTGGCTCACTGGTAGAACCTTCTGAGTTGTGCAGATGGAAGGTCCAGCTAGAGATTTGCATTCTTCGCACCTTGGCGATGTGGCCGCGCAGACAGCTCAGCGAGAAGAGGCCATTTTGGAGCTAAAACAGTTATGCAGCAAGCTCCATTCAATTGAAAGTGATATGGCTTTGAAACAGAAAGCCATTCAGACCGCTCTGGAGTCTGCAGAAGAAGTGAAACAACAGCTGAACCAACACAGAGAAGAGCTGAAGATATTGCAGGATGCAATCCGAGAGCAAGAGGAGCATTTGCAAAGGAAGGAGCTGGAATTGGATCAACAACAACAACTTCTGCAGCAAAAGCTCGCAGAGGTACAAAAGAACAAAGAGGCCTTGTTTCAGCTTGAAGCGGAAATCCACGAACTGAAAGAGCAGCAAGAAGAGTTGGAACAAGAGCTGACTGAGATCAAAGAAGAGATGGAAAGGCTGTCACAGGAAATTCACCAGGCAGAGGAGAAGATAAGGCAAGTTGAAGATCAAATCAAACAGCAAGAGCGAGAGTTGCATGGGATAAAGGCCGATCTCGAACGTGCAGAAAAGGAACTCAAGGCAGCTCAGCTCGAGCTCAGCCAAGCTCAGGAGAAGCTTGAGAAGGAGGAGAAGCAAAAGGAGCAGGCTGAAGTGAATCTGGAACGAGCTCAAGTTGAGCTTGACAAGGCCAGAGTTTTTTTTTGGGCCTTTTGGGGTGGGATTCTTGATCTATCTGAGTCTCCTCTATGCATCGGCATGGCCTGCGTTTTGTTTCAAGTGCCATCATTCATCATGTCCCTTAAAGCTTTAAAGCATCTTTGTGTTGCCATGTCATTTACCGTCAAGGTCTTCTGGTGTAGCTAAGGGTTGCAGTTCGGCAGGGTTATGGCTTGCAAGGTTCAAACAGCTTCTGAAGACTGCATCGTATTTTCATGTGCTGTCTATATTTCCCATTTTTTTGTTGCAGAGATTGCGAGTTTTCAGAAATGCCGCTTGCCAAAGTGCAAGTCCCATGAAATTCCATCCAGAGCTCTTGTGCTGGGGGTGGTGCAATGACAGAACCTGTAGTTGGAACATTGACGTTCCGTTATTTGCTTTCCACCGTGTGTTACCCTTCCGATCTGAATGTTTTTCTCCGAGCAAGGTGCTTTGTTGGATACTCTCTGTGATTTTGTGTGCCCTTCCTGTATTCCCACTTCAACATTCGTTTATCAGTATGGACCATGTGTCACGTTTGGGGCTGGAACTTCTGGATGGTGCAGGTTGACATTGAGTTGAAAGAGCTTGAGCAGGAACTACGAGAAGTTGCAAGCCTTATTGAAGATGCTCAGCGCAACAGAGCAGATGCCGAGAGAAGGAGGGAGGTTGCAGCTGCCAGAGTTCAAGAAGCCCAGCAGAAGATGAGGATGAAAGAAGAAGCGCGCAAGCTAGCTCAGCAACAGTTAGCAGTTGCAACAGAAGAAGTTGAACGGGCTCGAAGTATGGTCGCCGAACTGAAGGCTGCCCTGGATGAAGCAAAGCAAATTCTGCGAAATGCTGAGGCTGAGGCGTCGGCGGCGCAACAGAAATTGCAAATGTCAGAGCAGGAATTTCAACGTGCAAGAGATGCTGAAGCTAAGTGCAAAGCAATCTTGGACAACGCCACTGCCAGCTTGCAGATGGCAGCCAGAGACCTCTGCCAAAAAAACAATCAATTGCAAGCTGCCAATCAAAATGAGAGGGCAGCCAAGCAACAGATGCTCGCGGCCAAGAACCAAGAAGAGGTCTGCAAGCAGGATGTGGCGAAAGCCAGGGAACAACAAAAACGGGCAGAATCAGAAGAGCAGAAGTGCAGTCAGGAGAGGGAAAGAGCAGCAAAGGACTTGCAGCAATCAGAGGCTCAGGTCCAGAGATGCGCTGCTCAGAAGGAGGCAGCTCAAGCGGAAACTAGACAAGCCGAACAGGAAGCAGGGAAAGCAGAACAGACCCTCAGGCTTGCTCAAGCGGCATTTACCGCGGCGCAGCTGGCACTGGCTGCAGGAGTGACCAATCCAGTCGGTTGTGCTGCACTTAAAGCGGCATTAGCAGCAGCAGGTGCAAAAGTAAATCAAGCAAAGCAGGCCCGGGAATCAGCAAATGCAAAGCTTACTCAGGCCAGGTCAAAAATGCAGCAGGCGACAGCAAGTCATTCCAGCAGCCTCAGCGCCAAAAGTGCTCGGGAGCGAGAGTTCTCCAACTGCACACAACAGTGGAAGTCTGCAAAGACACAGCACGAGCGCAGCAGGCAAGCGCATGATCGCGCTGTTGAAAAGCAGAAAGCTGCAGAACAGAGGCATTCTCAGGCAAAAGGCAAACATGCGGAGGAAACCCGCAAACTGCAAGAAGCACAGAAGAACCAAGAGAAGGCAAAGAGGGATGAACAGACTGCAAAACAGAAGCAACAAGAGGCCAAATCGAATCATGATGATTCTCGTGAGAAGACCAAGAGAAGCCAAGACAAGCTTGTTGCATGTCGAGAGCAGGACAATAAATGCAAACAGGTGAAGAACAAGGCCAAGCAGAAATGTGATCAAATGTTAGAGAGACACTCCAGGAGCAAGGCAGCGTTGGATGAAGCGCAAAAACAGCTACGGGCAAAAAGAGAGGCAGAAGGGGCAGCCATCCAAGAGGAGCACCAGGCCAGAGAAGAGTTCAACCGCTTTGAGAGGCAATTGCACTATGCGAAGATGAGCGTGGAGGAACTCAGAGAAGCTGAAAGAGCATTGAACACAAAGAAAGCTGAGAAGGAGAGCAACAGAAATCAGAAGAGCAGGGAGGTCGACAAAGCAAAACGAGAGGTTGAAAAGAAGGATGCAGATCTCAGGAATGCAGAACAAAGGCTTCAAGCTGCCACTGCAACTCTTGAAGAAAAGCGAGGACATGTTGGTGCGGCGGCAAGGCGAGTGACGGACAAAGAGATTGAGATATCAGCAGCGAAGAACATCCTGCACGGTTTGAACTTTACTTTGGATACCAATTCCAAAAAGAAGCAGGACTTGGAATACAAGAAAAGCTCGGTTGCCACAAAGCTGAAGTCAACCAACAAGAAGTTGCAGGAAAAAGAAAGAAAGGAGAAAGAGTTGCAAAGTAAGGAGCGGACTTTGGAACAAGACAAAATGAGGCTCCAGCAGACCTATGAGTCAGCAGCCCGCACAGTTGGCAACTTGAGACAGGATTTGGACTCAAAAAGAAATGATCTCACGAATGCTCAGCAGAAATGCAATACGCAGGAGATGAAGCTGCGAGCAGCAAATCAGAAGGTTGATGAACTGAAGCAGGATGCAGGGAAGATATGCGTGGATAAGAGGGAGCTGCAGAGTCTCATAGATTCCAAAAAATCACAGTGCAACCGCTTGAGCCAGGAAGGACTTCGGAGTCAACCTTCTTATACAGAGAGCCGCAGGTATCAGGCGGGATTTTCGAAACCAATTTACAGCATTTCTGCATATTGCTTTTGGATATCCAGAGGTCATGATTGATGTTGGTTCCTGATTAGTGTGTAGTCCCCCCTAAACTATATCTGGACTCTCTTTAAATAGAAAGTCAAAAAAAAACTTCCCAAAAGAAAAACATATCCTCAATTAAGTAAGGATTTCAATTGGCTACAATTGAAATCTAATTACTATTGTTTTTCTTGCCGATGAAGTTGTGGTATTTGTAGTACTTGTAGTACTTGTAGTACTTGTAGTACTTGTAGTACTTGTAGTACATGTAGTACTTGTAGTACTTGTAGTACTTGTAGTACTTGTAGTACTTGTAGTACTTGTAGTACTTGTGGTACTTGTAGTACTTGTAGTACTTGTCGTACTTGTAGTACTTGTAGTACTTGTAGTACTTGTAGTACATGTCGTACTTGTAGTACTTGTAGTGCTTGTAGTACTTGTAGTACTTGTAGTACTTGTGGTACTTGTAGTACTTGTAGTACTTGTAGTACTTGTAGTACTTGTAGTACTTGTAGTACTTGTAGTACTTGTAGTACTTGTAGTACTTGTAGTACTTGTAGTACATGTAGTACATGTAGTACTTGTAGTACTTGCAGTACTTGTAGTACTTGTAGTACTTGTAGTAATTGTAGTACTTGTAGTACTTGTAGTACTTGTAGTACTTGTAGTACATGTAGTACTTGTAGTACTTGTAGTACTTGTAGTATTTGTAGTACTTGTAGTACTTGTAGTACTTGTAGTAAGGGTTTAATAAGGGATTGGCTCCTTTGGGAAAAGCTTGGAGTTTGAATTTGGCAATTGTCTTTGGAAAAGGCTTGCTTCTCTTCTGGGCTTCCAGGAGCTGCTCTGGCAGAGCTTGCTGCAATAGTGAACCCAGCAAACAAACCTACTAAAGTGAAATGGAGCCTCTCCTGGTCCAGGGCCTTGGGAAATTGTGGAAAAGCTGTTCTTTAATAAGGGATTGGCTCCTTTGGGAAAGGCTTGGAGTTTGAATTTGGCAATTGCCTTTGGAAAAGGCTTGCTTCTCTTCTGGGCTTCCAGGAGCTGCTCTGGCAGAGCTTGCTGCAATAGTGAACCCAGCAAACAAACCTACTAAAGTGAAATGAAGCCTCTCCTGGTCCAGGGCCTTGGAAAATTGTGGAAAAGCTGTTCTTTAATAAGGGTTTAATAAGGGATTGGCTCCTTTGGGAAAGGCTTGGAATTTGAATTTGGCAATTGCCTTTGGAAAAGGCTTGCTTCTCTTCTGGGCTTCCAGGGGCTGCTCTGGCACAGCTTGCCGCAATAGTGAACCCAGCAAACAAACCTACTAAAGTGAAATGGGGCCTCTCCTGGTCCAGGGCCTTGGAAAATTGTGGAAAAGCTGTTCTTTAATAAGGGTTTAATAAGGGGTTGGCTCCTTTGGGAAAGGCTTGGAGTTTGAATTTGGCAATTTTGGCAAAGGCTTGCTTCCCTTCTGGGCTTCCAGGGGCTGCTCTGGCACAGCTTGCTGCAATAGTGAGCCCAGCAAACAAACCTACTAAAGTGAAATGGAGCCTCTCCTGGTCCAGGGCCTTGGAAAATTGTGGAAAAGCTGTTCTTTAATAAGGGTTTAATAAGGGATTGGTTCTTTTGGGAAAGGCTTGGAGTTTGAATTTGTCAATTTTGGAAAAGGCTTGCTTCCCTTCTGGGCTTCCAGGGGCTGCTCTGGCACAGCTTGCTGCAATAGTGAACCCAGCAGACAAACCTACTAAAGTGAAATGGAGCCTTTCCTGGCCCAAGACCTTGGAAAATTGTGGAAAAGCTGTTCTTTAGTAAGGGTTTAATAAGGGATTTGTTCTTTTGGGAAAGGCTTGGAGTTTGAATTTGGCAATTGCCTTTGGAAAAGGCTTGCTTCCCTTCTGGGCTTCCAGGGGCTGCTCTGGCACAGCTTGCTGCAATAGTGAACCCAGCAAACAAACCTACCTTGACTGAGCTACAGCGTTTTTGAGAAAAAAATGCGTCTCAGCAATTACAGTTTTTTTTGCAAAAAAAAGGGCTCTCCCAATTTTGTTTTGCCACAAAAGCGAACCCTCCAAACAATACATGAGTTTCAGAATAATTTGGAAAAATTGCCACAATAGCGACCCTAGCTACTAATCAGGAGCTAACATTGCTTTGAACACGTCTTGGGCAGGCCCATGAGAACGCACGTTGGAGGGAACAAGTTTGGGAGGAGGAGCTCTCTGCCCATGCCCGCCACTATGCATAGGCAGTGTCAGCCCGTGGGATCTTTGGAGGACTTGGCGACCCCAGAAAGTCATAGATGCCAGCCAAGGTTTGTATTTTTGATGAACAATTACGACTTACGAAAGCCAGCCGGACAAGCTGGCAAGTTGTTTCTTTGCGAACGTAGTGAGAGATTAGGGGTCTGGGGGGAGTTGTTGCCAAACATGTCCGTTTTTCCAGCCTCAGTTGGTGTTCAGGGTGCCCACGGGGAGTGTGTTGCAGGGTAGTCTACCAGGTCGCAAATGGGTGACGGTGGGGTATCGATTCCCCCCTGGTCCGTGATATTGGGGTTAAATAGGTAGACAAATGGATCAGTAGACAGGCAGATAATAGATGGATGGAGAGTAGACCGAGAGAGGGAATTTATCGGTAGCTGGATGACAGCTAGATAGAGAGGTATAGAGAGATAGAGAGATAGAGAGGTATAGAGAGGTATAGAGAGATAGAGAGAGAGAGAGATGGATGGATGGATGGATGGATGGATAGATGGATGGATGGATGGATGGATAGATAGATAGAACGAAGTGTAGAACCGTCGCGAAGGCTGGCTGGATGACATGGGTGGATGGATGGACGGATAGACTGGGCATAGCTACATATATGCAGAGATGCGGGCAGGGAGAGAGAGAGAGAGAGAGACAGACAGACAGACAGACAGGCAGGCAGACAGACAGAGAGAGAGAGAGAGTGAGTGAGTGAGTGAGTGAGTGAAAATTAGGTTGATGCATGGATGGCTTGACGCAAGGCTGGACAGATAGGTTGACAGATAGATAGCTAGATGGCTACAGGTCGTGGAAGCTTTGTCGGCAGCAGGCTGCAATGACCACCTGACATAGAGCTTTGCCTGTGCTGAAAATAGATCGTCATGTCATCTCTCTTTGGCTACAAGCGAATGACAGCTAGCGCGCTTGATGTGAGATGGAGACATGGACCAGTGGATAGAGTAAGAGATAGATTGATAGGATGGTAGACAGATGGATTGCTATAGATTGAGAAATTCTTCCGACGTATTTTTATGAACGCCAGCCGAACAAGCTGGCAAGGGGCTAAATAGGTAGACAGATAGATTTAAGAGGTAGACAGATAGATAAGCAGATAGATAAATACGTAAGTAGATGAACAGATAGATCGATGGATAGATAGAGAGATGGAAGGATAGATAGATCGATAGATAGGTAGAAAGATCGATAGACAGACAGATAGCTGGAGCGATGGAGACATGGAGAGGCCGAGAGAGTGAGAGATAGATAGCTGGATGGATGGACAAAAAGATTGATGGATAGATAGATGGATAGAGCTCAGTAGATAGATAGATAGATAGATAGATAGATAGAGGTATAGAGAACTTTTTGCATCGCGCCATTGCGAGGAAAGGTCTTCCCGCAGATGCGCTTTGTGGAACCAGACACGATATCCTTCGCTGTGAGTCTGTTACGCGACCTTTCAGTTTGCTCGTAGGAAGTGACGCCCGGAAAGGGGCTTTCCCGCGTTCGCATATGGTGAGAACAGCAAACATGACAGATGTAATGCTAAGGAGAAGCGGCAGTCAAAGCCGGCCTTGAAGAACACATGCTGAACAGATTTCATATTTTGTCAAGAAAAAGGTTGCAGATGCAATGATAAGCAGATGCTGCGGTCTAACAGAACTGTAACGGAGCAGGACCTTTCCTTTTGGCCTTCGGCAGCTCTGATGTGGAAAAGTGTCAATGCCACATGCGATATCTTTTGCACACCGTGGACCGTCACGTCATCTGTTTCTGAGATACACGTTGATATAGCTGGGATCATCTGGGATCGCGGAAAAATAAATGGGCCGTGGCAGATATTTTGGCGAAGTACAGAACGCTATCATCGTGCTGCGTACCAATGGATATGGAAGCAGATACCAAGAACCAAATCTAGAGTCTGCCTGTTTAGATCACGGTCATGTTAAGCCGTGTTAGGCCTATGTGGGACCTATGTTAGGCTGATGTTGGTCCATGTTAAGCTTTAAGAAGCCATGTTGGGGCCATATTCGAGCCATGTTGAGCCTATGTTAAGCCAAGAACGGCGTGTTGCTTTTAAGCCTTTACCCGCCCCAAAAAAACACGCCGTTTTTGGATCATCTCGGGACCATGTTGGGCAAATGTGGAGCCAATGTTGGGCCTATGTAGATCCATGTTAGGCTCTTGGAGGCTATGCGGGGGCCATGTTTGAGCCAGGTTGAGATTATGTTAAGCCAAGAACGGCGTGTTCCTTTTAAGCCTTTACCCGGCCCAAAAGTAACACGCCGTTTTTGGATCATGTCGGGACCATGTTGGGCGTATATGGAGCCAATGTTGGGCCTATGTTGATCCATGTTAGGCTCTTGGAGGCTATGCTGGGGCCATATTTGAGCCATGTTGCGCTTATGTTAAGCCAAGAGCGGCGTGTTCCTTTTAAGCCTTTACCCGGCCCAAAAGGAACACGTCGGTTTTGGACCATGTCGGGACCATGTTCCGCACATATGGAGCCAATGTTGGGCCTATGTTGATCCATGTTAGGCTCTTGGAGGCTACGCTGGGGCCATGTTTGAGCCAGGTTGAGATTATGTTAAGCCAAGAACGGCGTGTTCCTTTTAAGCCTGTACCCGGTCCAAAGGAACACGTCGTTTTTGGATCACGTCGGGACCATGTTGGGCGTATATGGAGCCAATGTTGGGCGACTGTTGATCCACGTGAGGCTCTTGGAGGCTATGTTGGGGCCATATTCGAGCCATGTTGAGCCTATGTTTAGCCAAGAACGGTTTAAGCCTTTACCCGGCCCAAAAGGAACACGTCGTTTTTGGACCATGTCGGGACCATGTTGGGCGTATATGGAGCCAATGTTGGGCCTATGTTGATTGATGGTAGGCTCTTGGAGGCTATGTTGGGGCCATATTTGAGCTATGTTGCGCTTATGTTAAGCCAAGAACGGCGTGTTCCTTTTAAGCCTTTACCCGGCCCAAAAGGAACACGCCGTTTTTGGATCATGTCGGGACCATGTTGGGTCGGGACCATGTTGGGCGTATATGGAGCCAATGTTGGGCCTATGTTGATCCATGTTAGGCTCTTGGAGGCTATGTTGGGGCCATATTTGAGCCATGTTGCGCTTATAATAAGCCAAGAACGGCGTGTTCCTTTTAAGTCTTTACCCGGCCCAAAAGGAACACGCCGTTTTTGGATCATGTCGGGACCATGTTGGGCAAATGTGGAGCCAATGTTGGGCCTATGTAGATCCATGTTAGGCTCTTGGAGGCTATGCGGCGGCCATGTTTGAGCCAGGTTGAGATTATGTTAAGCCAAGAACGGCGTGTTCCTTTTAAGCCTTTACCCGGTCCAAAGGAACACGTCGTTTTTGGATCTTGTCGGGGCCATGTTGAGATTATGTTAAGCCGTTAAGCCAAGAACGGCGTGTTCCTTTGAAGCTTTTACCCGGCCCAAAAGGAAGACGTCGTTTTTGGATCTTGTCGGGGCCATGTATATGGAGCCAATGTTGGGCCTGTGTTGATCCCCGTTAGGCTCTTGGAGGCTATGTTGGGCCATATTCGAGCCATGTTGAGCCTATGTTAAGCCAAGAACAGCGTGTTCCTTTTAAGCCTTTACCCGGCCCAAAAGGAACACGTCGTTTTTGGACCATGCCGGGACCATGTTGGGCGTATATGGAGCCAATGTTGGGCCTATGTTGATCCATGTTAGGCTCTTGGAGGCAATGTTGGGGCCATATTTGAGCCATCTTGAGCTTATATTAAGCCAAGAACGGCGTGTTCCTTTGAAGAATCTAGATAGATAGATAGATAGATAGATAGATAGGTAGATAGGTAGGTAGGTAGGTAGGTAGGTAGGTAGGTAGAAAGATACATAGGTAGGTAGGTAGGTATGTAGGTAGGTAGATAGTCAGAGAAAGAGAGAGAAAGAAAGGAGACCTCAAGCACCTTTCGGTCCATCAGTGGCTTCGCTCTGCCATCCGTGATTCATAACAACCAACCGCTCCTATAGGTTTCCTATTTTTGAAACTTCCGCCACCGCTTTGTGCGGTACTACTGGTATTAAGCCAAGAACGGCGTGTTCCTTTGAAGAACTCCAATTTTGAAGGTATTACGCGCTGGAGATTTGCTGCGGTCGGGTATCGATGCCCCCTCGGTCTGGGTTTTCCTGGGTGAGCTAAGTACCCAGTCAGAGAAATCGATAGAGCGAGACATGTTGCTTAAAAGACTAGAGATGAGATACGTCGCTGACCAACAGAGTTTTAGGAAGGCGACCACTGGAGAACTCCAATTTTGAAGGTGTTACGCGCAGTCGTGATGGTTGCAGGTTTGCTGCAGCTGGAGATCTCCAATTTTGAAGGTGTTCTGCGCAGGAAGTTTAATGCTCTCAGTCGTGATGCTTGCGGGTTTGCTCCATCCAATTTTGAAGGTGTTATGCGCAGGAAATTTGCTGCAGTAGGCCATCGATTCCTCCTCAGTCCGGTTTCTAGCCAGTGAAACAAATAGATGGAGAAAAACATGTTGCTCGAGCGACTCAAGATACGTAAACCACCGACAGAGTTTCAGGATGTCTGCCTCAAAACTTTCTGTGCAGTTAGGGCTACGCTACAACTGGAGGATTTCAATGTTGAAGGTCTTACACGCAGGCAATTTGCTGTGTGCAGGGGTTTTCATTATCAGAGCTGGCTTTCGTTCCCCCCTTTCCAGGTATGTCGCATTTCTGGCTTGATAGCTTTGCAAGATCTCTAGACAACAAACCGCAGATTGCACCCAGGGTAACAGTGTAACAGTTTCGAACAATCCATTTTGTGCGAGGTCGTTCTTATGAAGCTTCCACTGAGCTCCCATCTCTGAGCACCAGTCTCTGAGGTTTGCCCAGGGTCCAGGAGCTTTCCGTAGAATGTAGTTGACATACTTGGTTTCAAAGGCTGCTTTTCTTTCAGTTTCCACTTTCCAAGGCATTACAATCACAAGTTCTTGTTTCAGATAGTGAAATATTTTTCAAAAGTAACAAGTAGATGTTGTCTTTGCCAAAATATAGATGTGGCCAAACTTCTTCTTACATTACTTCACTTCGGGCAAAAAAACATGATTAACAGTAGTCATCATTACTCCCCACATACAACTGGAGCGTTTGCGGAAAGCAACTGGCGCATTTCACACTAGATTTTGTCACGACTGAGCGCCAGCTGATTGCTGCTTGCCGTGAGCAGTTGACGGCTTGTCTTCAACAAACATCCATCAAACAGAGTCCAGGCCAGCGCCTCCTAAGTTTTTCACCTCCTTCTCAGCCCATGCAGAACACAGAGGTACAGCTTCAAATAGTTTTTGGAGACAAAACCCATATTGCAGCGGCTTTTTCAGTATGTGCACATTCATTATGCTGAGTCCAGCACCTTGATTCGATGCCAGCGGCAAAAAATACAATAAGCGCGGTGCTGATTGTATCTCCAACCTGCATTGTTGGGTCCAGGTGGGCAGAGTTTCAGTTTTGGGGGTTGGAAACGACTGGCGCACGAAACGTGACAAAGCTGAGAGGATTTGATGATGGATGTGCCGCCTGTTGCAGGCGGATTGATCTGAGTGCAACCACTTCCTGCCTGCAACTAACTGTTAAAAAGCTTGGACGGTTTGTCTGCGATGTTATGAGATGGGTTGTGCACTTTTGCAAGGGTGAGCCAATTCATTCATTCTGCATCCTTGGGAAGAAGAGGCTGCTTGAAGATGGCTCTTTCAAGAGAGTGTGAGATGCTCCGCAGCAGCTAGGCTCCACAAATCCAGTTTCCTTGCGACATTATTGGAGGCTTCCATGGAGGAGCTCAGGATTTCCTTGAAATACATTTTGGTGGTGCTGGATGCCACCGGGTGTGGTGACACCGGGCGCGAGAGCATCATGAGCCAGCCTCAGTTACTTCATGACAAGCGACTCCACGACCCCGCGATTTTGTCAGACACTATCAGCATCCTGGCGAAGGAGAGGCTCACCGATTCAGATCAAGATGTGGAATTGGCTATGGAGCTTGTACAGCCACAGCTGGGAATTACGACAGAAAAAGCGCCAGCAAGAGTGCAGGGAAGTACAGCAGTGTCGTTTTCCGAGTCGCCAGAGTATGTGAGTCCAGAAAGGCCCATTGCAGGGAAGTTCCCTGCAAAAGTGCTTGTGGTGGTAAAGCATGTCTCAGACAAGTCACAAGAGTACTTTGAAAGACACATTCCAGACAGCCAGGTCCTAGCTTTGGCCATTGCAGTCTTGCAGAAACCTGGCCAAATACTTCGAGGATCAGAAGTATCTTTGGCTCCCAAAATTCGCAACTGCGACAAGCGAGGCAGCTATTCATTTGATCCGTTGCAGGGGATGTGTGATGTTGTTCGACGACGTGCAGATGATCAAGAGTTTGAAGGGCATGAAGTGGAGTTGCAAGACACCGTATATCATCAGGTGTCCAACTCAAAGGTTACAAACCCAAATCTGGCAGAAGAGAGAAAGCTAAGCCTAGCCCACTGGGTTCACAAAGTTTATCACATCCACGACCGCAATTCAGAAGATGCCGAGTATGTCGTGAGGAAGATGCAAGAGGAAAGAGTTGGGTCTCTTGAGCAATTCTTGGGAATGTCTGAGGAGCACATGAAGCGTTTGATGCTGCGAGTCGGTGATTTGGATTTTCTAATTCAACAGAGGAAAATGTTTGCGGCAAAGGCAAAGACCAAGAAGGACCCCTGGTTTTGAAAGTCGTTTGGACGAGATATTGGCGTGTGCCACTTTGTTGACATTCTTGTGTAGCTGTCAGACACACAGACAGACCCACACTGGTGACATACATTTTTTTTATTGTGGCCACCCACCTGTGGAGGATAACACAGAATGTATCACAATGTGATATAAGCCTTCCTGGTTCTGAACATCTCTCATCAGGTTTTTCATGTCTCATCATGTCTCATCACGTCTCATTAGGTCTAATTGGGTCTTATTGGCTCTCACCACGTCTCAACAAGACTCATCATGTCTCATCATGTCTCATTATTACATTATGTCTCATCATGTCTTAACATGTCTCACCATGTCTGATCATGTCTTAAAATGTTTCATCAGGTTTTTCATGTCTCATCACGTCTCATCAGGTCTTACCATGTCTCATCATGTCTCATCATGTCTCATCGCGTCTCATCAGGTCTTGCCATGTCTTATCATGTTTCATCAGGTTTTTCATGTCTCATCATGTCTCATTATGTATCAACATGTTTCATCGTATCTCGTCATATCTCGTCTGGTCGCGTCTCATCAGGTCCCTTCAATCGCAGCCCATCCCGTCGCATCATATCATATTTTAGCATCTCTCATCATCTTATATTTCCTTTCCCGTCATTTTCCACAGTCATCCCGCTTCTTCAACCCCGTAAAACAACTACCCCATTGCAGAGCTTTTTTCCACCCAGAGTGGGCCTCAAGTTAGGACCCAGAATTGTAATGGCATGTCACACAGTTCAGCCGGCTTGGCAGGACACTTCCGACTTTGCAATCAAAGCCAAACTCTAGCAAGTTCGAAGGTATTTTGCTTCATTCGATCATGAATCTGCCAAGTTGCCTTGGTTGGACGAAAGGACAGTGCTTGCTGGCATTGACTCGAAGAGGTTCCCGTGGGTGCAAAAATCTGATTTGAGATGTTTAAAGCGAGGTTGTAACATGTTGTACCTTCCGGTAATTTTTCAATCATGGCGATGGAAACTCCCCCCATTCATAGTATGTTTTTTCCTTTTAAAATTTCCATTGCCGTTTTTGCCCAGAGGAATTGTTTGCCCTGATCCCAACAGGATTGATTACAAGAACGAAGCTGTTTGGAACCAGCTTACGACCGACTTTTTGCTACCGTTCTGTGCAACAAGAGGAGAGCCTCCGCGAGGCTTGATGTTGTACGGGCCACCTGGTACTGGCAAAACCGAGCTGGTCAAGACAATCTGCAACCGCTGTGGTCTGTTTGCCATTGAGCCCATGATGATGGCCTCTGAGTTGAACAAAAGCCTGGTAGGTGAATCAGAGGAGTTGATCCGGGAATTGTTCAAGCGCGCTGAGCTCATGTCCCACTTGGCCTGTGTCATCGCTATGGATGAAATCGATTCAGCAGTACCAAAGAGGGAAGACAATGGTGGCGGCAACCAACACGGTGCAGACAAGGTCTCAGCCATTCTTGGCTTGATAGGCGGAGGGGTAGATGTGCCCAACCTTTGCATGATTGGAGCCACGAATCGGCGTGAAGCCATAGATGGCCCAATTCAGAGGCGTATGCCTATTCAGGTCTATGTTGGATTTCCAGACTTTGACAGCCGAAGGGGCTTGATTGACCATTTGCTTTGCCAGGATCAGGGGGAATTGATTACCAGTGACCATCATCTGATTACGATCGAATCCTTCTATGACAATGCTTTTCGGAACAACATGGCGCGGCTCACGATGAATTTCTCAGGAGCCGCAATTCAAACACTGTGCTTCGGCTTGCTCCAGCAGTGGGAGCGCTTCCTGGGCTGTGAGCCACGAGACTCATTCCAAGGATGTGAGTTTGCCGTGCCCGGGAGCGCAGACAAAGATATGGACAGGACAAATGGGCAAACTGAACAAAAAAGGCACAGTGGGCAAAATGGCCAAAATGCTGCCTTGTCGTATTTGTTGTCAACAATTTCCCACTCATTCAATTTGAAGGTCGGAGGCAGAACCATTCCAGAACTTCTCTCCACCAACACATCAATGGCAAGTGATGCTCACAGGAGGTATTTGTGGCACCACTGCAAGATCCAGAATGCAACCGGTTTGATGGTCATCCAACCTTCCTCCGGATTTACTTTTCAACTTGAGGTGTACAGGAAGAAGAGCGAATCAATCTCGCACTTGAAGGAATCCGTTGGATTTCACCTGCGACCTTTGTGCGAGACCTGCGGGAAACGAGCTGTCAAGCTGTGCAAGGATAATCGAGAACACTTTATCAGCAACAGCCTGTTTCAAGATGGCATGTGGGAGGCAGATGGAAGACCTCTTGATGAAGAGCAGTGGTTGAGGTATCTGGAACTGAGCCGCGGTGACAAGAGTATCGATGAGTCGGATCAGGAGGTTAGAAATGAGCATATTCTGCAGGAAGCCGCCTATTTTGCTCAAGAGCGAAAATTGTCACGCCTGGTTTTTGTTGACGAGTCAAAGTACATTCTTCACAATGGTGCTTCAGACGAACGGAAAATCCTGGAGGAGTTTGCAATGGATGTGAAACAGGTTGTGGCTCCTGGCAGCCGAGCATTGCTGTTGATTGACTTGGATGCGTTTGTGGGGCTTCAATTTTCAGAAAGCGAAGGTAGCATGAGCTCAAAGAGCTACAGCATCCGAAGCCAGATGCTTTTCGACGCTGCTATGGGAGCCTTCCGAAGCTGCGAAGCAGGGTTTCGACACGGACATGACACAATACGGGATCATATCCCAAAGACTGATCAAGCTGAGAGTTGGTGCATCCTCATCATCCGAAGTCAATACTTGTTCAAGCTGTTTCGTGAGAGAACACAATGGCCCCTGTCAGCCATTGAGCACGAAGCGCAACGGAAAGAGGAAGAAGAGCAGCGCCCGAGGAAGTGCAAACGATGCGGAGAAGTCTATCGGGAATCGGACAACAAAGAGCTCCCTGGCAACTGCTGGTATCATACAGGCAAGCTGTTCGTTTTGAAGGAGATGAACAATGGAGATGTGGAGGTGGAAGATGATTGCCCTCGAGAAGTTGTACATGATCTGGCCTTGAAATCAGTAGCGAGCAAGAGAAAAAAACACTTCAAATTTGACTGCTGTGGCCACGATTTTTCTCCACTTGGGGGTTGTACAAAAACGACCCATGTTTGATGTGGGTACCTGATCTCCTGAGTGGTTCTACCTTGGCAGTGCTAGCACGTTGCATATGGTGTACAGTTCTGTAGGCAGCTCATCACCAGCCAGCTGATTGCTGCTTTGTGAGTGAGATTCCATTCATCGGGGCCCGGAACGTCGCACATGGTTTGGATTGTTGTTGTTCATTGACAATTGTCATGAAGAACGCTAAGGACATAAACTTATATAATAATCATAAGTTGGAACCCTAGCGTACAACTCTGATTGTCTTTGTAATCATACATTTGCCGGTGTTTCTGCGCGGATTTTTTTGATTATTGGGCCCTGGTTGACATTTTCACTGATGGCTGGTCGCAAACCAGCTGCTTGCTGCTTAGTGAGCGAGACTCTATAGTTTTCAGGCGTTCACAAGGGGCCAACCTGTCACACATTGCAACTGTTTATATAATGTCATGCCAGAATGCGTACGAATGGTATTTGCATTTGTCTTTTTTTTGTTTGTGAACACATGTCCTGTTGACTTTTGTGCAGACATGACCCTTGGTGTCCAGTCTGGGTGATGGCTCGTCGCCAGCCAGCTGCTTGCTGTTTCGTGAATGAGTCACCATCTGTCTGCAATCTTTTGCAGCTGCCAGAAGAGGTTCAAAAGCTGAGGCGAACTATTGTGAGATGCCCCAGTGCCACAAGTTACATCTAGGTGGCCATGTGAGGTAGACAGCTGGGTCTTATTTGATGATGATTTCAAGTGGGGTCTTCAGTGCTCAGGAGATTTGATGATCATTTCAAGTGGCAAATATGTATATAATATACATATATAATATATATATAATATACATATATAATATATACAAATATATATATATATACACTCCAAGTTATCGAAGACTCTTGTTGCCAGTTGAACGCCTTCAAGTCACAGAGTCCTGTGAGTATTCACCTTAGCAGGCCTGCTTCTGGCCACGTGCTTCCGTGCGGACTCTAGAACAGACAGTCGCTGCGCAGAAATCGAAAAACGACCGCGGGCACATGCCACGCCAATGCATGCTATTCATTCCCTTGTGTGCGCGGTGCTGCAGAGGAAGAAGTATGTGCAGACAACTTCACAATTGATGCAGTTAGGCCAAGGCAATCTGACACAGTCTTGAATGAAACTGAAACAGTCCCAGTAGTTCCTCGTCTTCTCTGCTGGAGCTGGTTTGCAAAGGAAGAACGAAGTGAGTAGAGATACCCTAAATGGCTGCCCCCGAGAGCTATCAAGAGGAGATTGGATCAACAGCATTGCGCGGAACAGCTTCTTAGTCTCTCAGTGTGGACAAGCCACTTTCGGATGGTGCCTCGGCATTGACGAGTTTTTTCTATCTTTTTCTGCTTGGATGTGTCTTGACCCGACTCTTCTTCCGTCCTTGTTCACGTGAGCTCTGGGCAAGTCTTTTTCAGTTGGCTGCAAGGCCGAGTCTGGGAAAGAGGCCGGGCTTTGTTCTGCAGTTCAAAACATGATGATTGGAGTCGCAGTCAGAGGATCGATTACAATCGCGCAGAAAGTGTGATGTGTTGTGCAGACCTGCCGTGCAGGGCTTTGAGGCTTGGGTGAAGGATACCCTCGGCAGTGCAAAACCCGAAATTGTTCAGAAGATCCTGGCAGTGCTAGAGGAGGGGTGCTTCGAGAGTGCAGCTCATCTGGCGGAGTTCAGTGAAGGTTCTGCAGAGCTTGCCAAGCGTGGAAGCTTGGCAGACACCATGTTTGATTTGTGTTTGCATGGACAAACGAATTTGTTCGGTCTTCAGATCCGGCTCCATGCTGTTTGATTTCCTCCTTTCAAGAGACCTTTCTTTCAAGGAATTCCTCAGCGACTTGCCAGCATCTTGCTCCAGAACGCCAAGGTAAAGGCCCGCTGGGTGTTTTTCTGCCACAGCCATCGTAACTGCTCGGGATTGATACATCATCCATCCATCATAAATAAACCGTAATGGTGGTGGGATCGCCATACCCCCCACACTTGGACGTGCAGCTCCAGTCATAAGTGGATATATAACCATAGTCATAGGGATTATACCTCAACTTATGGAGTTATAACATAACCATGGTTATACCCATTTGTAATTTCAATTGCACCCCGATGGCACAGATGAGAAAACGGTGTCTGTCCAGGCTGCCGTGGACGCTGCAGAGGTACTGACTGCGGAGACGCACAGCTCCACTGGAGACTCCGCGCCTAGGTAGCAAAAAGACGTTGCAAACATGATGGAATACAGTGTATTAAACAACAAACCCAGGTGACCACGTGTTTTCGTGTTTTGGGCCTCACAAAGTAGACGGTCTGATCGATATCTCAAAAAAATAGTCCCAATCTGTATACACTGATAACTCTAGTTTCATTTTTGCTCCCTTGACTGCTTTTGTTCTCTTTCACCTTGCCCGGGCGGCTATGTACGCGTGATATCAAGAACCTCCAGTGTTGCAGTTGCTTGCGTCAAGAAGTTTCGGACCCGGATCAGTATGGTGATTCACAGACACACACACACACTGTCCAAGCTCGGCATCATGATCATGCCTGTTCGGAAAACTACTAGCTTTGAAGGCTTCGTGAAAAATATGGAACAAGGCAAACCTCCGAGTTCCCAGCGTATATGTCAAAAACCAATTTGATGTAGTTTCCAAATTTGTAGACGTTTGACGGTTTGTCTTAGGAATTTCAGGGTTTGTAGCTGCGAACTTTTGCAAAGAAGTGAGACTGGTGCTGCAAAGCTGTTTGCACAGCCAACCATCACTAATCAGACGTGAGTTGATTGCTGACAATGGATGGAGGGGTGTATATCTATTTTGAGAGGCCACTTGGTAGTACTTGATATTGCATCACACACTGATACCGCACACCATGGCCCGATGGAAAATCAACATGGAACGAATGGGGAGTGAACATGCAATACGAAAATGCATGTTCAGATCCTTGGAAACTGGGAACATATGAGAAATCTGCGAAACTGCAAAAGTGAGCATTTTGAGTCAAGACCGTAAACACCCACAATAAAGTGGGCAAGACCTCGGTACATATTGTATAATATATATATATATTAATACATATTATATTATACATATACAAACATTGACATGCTAACTTGCATCAAGAGTGCAAAGGTCTTCATGATTTTGATCTGAGATGTTATTGTTTACAGGCTCCCGCGCCACGCACAGAAGTATTGAGCGCGGAGAACTCTACCTCCGACTTGGTCCCTTGGTTGCAAGATCAGTGGAAGCTGCCTAGACATGTCTTTTAAAGCACCGGGACAAGGCACCTACAGAAACCCTGTGGATTGGAATCCGATGAATCAGCTTGTTTGCTTTCCATTGAACCCTTGGAAATGGGAGAGGCCAATGTGGAACCTCCAGAAGTTCTGGAGGAAGCAGAGCAGGCCAGTCCTGTGATGTGCTCTTGGTTAGGGAGGTTGCACTCTTGACAAGCCACCAATCTCAGATACAGTTTGTTGTTGTATTTCCAGCTCGTGGGCAAGCAGTCATAAGTAAAAAGAAAGCACATCCGATTTGGCAACATGTCGGAGATGTGAATTTCCCGTCAGGTCGACGTGCAACCTTCAGAAATCTTGGGTGCAATGAAGTCAAGTGCGGACATTGTTTCTTGGTACTTGAACGAAGAGCGCTTGACTGGTCATATTGGTTGACAAGCCAGAGTCCCCTTGTATGATAAAAGAGCTTAGCAGACCCGCGATGATGTAAGGGGTAGGTGACTAGGGTGATGCCGTTCCAGTTGTTCTTCAGTTGTATGCTAAAATGGGAAGCATGGGCCGATGGGAACACGGAAGAATAGGAACTACTGTAGCGAAACCGGGAACATGGGCGATTAAAAACGAGAACCTTCAGAAACAGGAACTAGCACTAACTAACAAGAACCAAAGCACAGGGGAACAAAGAAGGCAATAACATACGAATACAGGAAGTAGCAAACGCGAAACACGGGCGAACAGAAATGGGAAGGCACAACAACATTGCAAAAACGGGAAGTAGCAAACACGGGAACACTAGCGAATAAACATCGGAAAACCACAATATATGAACTAGCTAACAAGGCAACAGGGGCTATTAGTAAAAATGGAAGTACTGAAGCAGTAGCAGTAGCAGTAAGAGTAGGAGTAGGAGTAGCAGTAGCAGTGGGAGGAGTAGGGGAAGGAGTAGCAGTAGGAGTAGGAAGAGGGTAGAGGTAGGAGTAGCGGTAGTTATCGTCGTCGTCGTCGTCGTCGACGTCGTCGTCGTCGTCGTAGTAGTAGTAGTAGTCGTGGTGGTGGTGGTGGTGGTGGCAGGTGTTGTTGTTGCTGTTGTTGCTGTTGTTGCTGTTGTTGCTGTTGTTGTTGCTCCCGTTGCAGTACCAAATATTTTCTACTTTACGCACTCCCCCTGCTTTAGACTGGGGTCGGTTTCTTGACTGCCCCGGTGAGAGTGGCTTCCAGACTTTTGCATTTGAACATCTCAATAGGCACAGCTTGCACTTTCCAAGGTTGGCGCTTGTGAAGTTGCGTGCTTGAACCAGGCTATCCCAGAATCTGCAGAAGTTCTGCGGGCAGGGGCGACAGAGGTTGCCTGGCCAGAGGTCAGTTCAGGTCCTTGGATTCCCAAACCGCCTGATTGCTTGTTGAGTTGGAAATACACGAAGAAACTAAATCATTTTCACCTGCAGAATGCTCTTTGAAGGCCCTAAGTGGGTTTTTGAGTAACTTGTGTGAATCCATTGAATTCCCTTACAATTTGTTTCAATGCCAGCTGGTTTCGCAGTTTGTCTCTGTTTGCGTGCTTATTTCGCAAATGTCTCCTCTTCTCACAGCTGGAACCTTTGCAAGGGAATATATTTTTTTCCCGCGGAGTACTTGGTCCCTTTCTTTTGGCAGTTGGTTGCACAAATCCGCAATCATGGATTTATCCATTTTCAAAATTGCAGCACTGTGGATGTTCCCGTGCCCTTTGCTGGCGTTTTGGGTCATACCTCTCCGTGTCAGAGCTGAGGTTGATGATGCCTTCAAAGGAAATCCAAGCAGCTTCCCTTAGTATAGTGCAGCCTTCACTTGTCATTGCCGGGTGCTGTGATGAGCTCCCCAATGCAGAAAAAGGAAATGAGCCTGGATCCATTATAACTTGACAATGTTTTTGTTGAACCACAACCCTTCTGTTGTGCCCCAACATGGTGCTCTGTCAAGGTACCAGTGTTCGTCCTGAAGAGCGAAGCTTGGAAACGCCCGAAGCCGTTGTTTCCAGTTCCCAGATCCACCTTCGGGCCAGAAGCCTGTCACGAACAAATTCAGAAGTGACACAGGATGACTGGTGTGTTGTTGAGGGTGAAACGCTTGATTTTACAAAGCTTGGGGATTACGTGGAGCGCTCAAACAATGTCCTGAAGCAACACAATCAGCAGAAAGTTTCGCTGTTTCTTGGAAGCACTGGAGCTGGCAAAACAACTCTACTCTACCACATCGCTGGCAAACGGTTGGTGGTGAAGCCTGGCGAAAGAGTTTTTCAACCAGCCCCAGACCAGGACTTGACCGACTTGAAGGATATCCAGATTGGTCATGGAGACAAGTCCAGAACAATGTGGCTTTCTCCGTGGACAAACTCTGACACTGATGCCGTGTACATGGATTGTGCAGGTTACCTCGACACTCGTGGTGCAGAAATCGACATTGCCACATCTCTGTCCATTCGGAAACTTGCAGAGACTTGCAAATCTCTCCGCTTCATTGTCGTCGTTGGCTGTGACCTGCTGGTGAGCAGCGACAGAGGTGGCAGCTTCAGACAGCTTTGCACTGTAATTTGTCAGTGTGTCAAGGATTTCAAAAGGTATTCTGGTGCTTTCTCATTTGTCTTCAGTCATGTGGACATGTTGCGGTGCTGGGAACAGTGTCGAAGTGATCCAGATGTAGAGAACAACATCAAGAGATGCACCGCAGAGATACTTGAGCGTTTGAAGGCGATTCTCACTGGGACACTCAAAATCCGAGCCATGTTGGAGGTTCGCAACTTGCTTTCCTTGCTGATCGCCGAAATGAAGTGTCCTGAGAAGGCGAGAAAAGGGTCTTTCATGATTTTTCATCCTACCTGGTGCACGGCAGAAGAGTGTCGAGATTGCTTGGAGAATTTCGACAAAAGAGACCGCTGCCTGACAATGCCCAAAGAAGCCGTCCAATGCGTTCTCACTCCAGAACAGGACAGTAAGCTGAGGCGCCAGTTGCAACAGGGCAAGTTGCGCCTTGAAAGCTTTATCAATGAAGGCGACTGGAAGAGCGTCGAGGTCCGGGTTCATGTTCAAAATTATCACGCAATTAATGTTCAAACATATCTAGCCCATACATCAAAAATCACATGACGCACTGCGATGTACCCCATAACAATCAACATACCTTGAGAAGCAATGCATGCCGCAGCGCAGATTTCGTACCAGCCGTGCAGACCAAGCTTGAATCTGGGGGTCAAAAAGATGCAGATGCATTCGTTGAACATAGATTTGTATTTGTTCACGAGTGAGCTGCAGGTAAATTGCTGCAAATGACATTTGCTAATGTTTTCAGTATTCCACTGGGTGAATCTGGCCTGAGGAGTACTGGAATGCTTTGCACAGCATGACCAACCTGATTGAGCTGCCAGAGCTTCAGTCCAGCTTGGAAGAATCCCGTGTTCAGCTTGGAAAACATGACCGTGATCTCTCGCTGCAGGCAAGCGAGTTGGTGGACCTTGGGGCTGGCGAAACTCATGGGACCTTCACAGCCAAGGACGCCCAGGCGGCTCTGAAGTGCTTCGAGACCTTGGGTTTCCTGGCCCGTCTTTTGCACAGCGACAGAAACGTCCAAGAGCAGTGGAAGAAGACGGTCATTGACAAACTTCGCGTGCTGAAAGAACAGGTGTTGATCCAGTGCACAGGCAACATCCTCACAAAACCAGCTTTGCCAGTGGCTGACATGCAGCTTCGGCTGTTGCGCCTGAAAGCTTGGAGTGATGCAGATAAAGTGACCTTTTCCTCCGAGTTTGATGGAGCACGAACAGCAGTGAACGAGCTCTTTCAGCAGATGGTTGCCCTGTCGAGCAAACAATCGCCTTTTGGTCTTCAGGATTTGCCCACCAAGTGCAAAACTGCACTTCACTTGAAGCACATTGCTTTCGAGGTGAATCCGTCACTTTGGGATGGAGAAGTCATTGACATGAAGGGTGCAGCTGAGGAGGCTGCTCGACAGGCCCACCAACTGCTGGACAAATCAAAGGCCGAAAGCATAGAGTTGGTCACGAGTTTCTTGACAGGCAAAGATCCAACAAATGCTGCACTTCTAGAGAGCATCAGAGTGGCGTTTGAGAGCTTCATGTTTGCCCAAGCAGAGCTACAGGATTGGCTCCATCTGACACCAGAACTGTCAAAGTGTGTATCAATGGCCATTAGTGAACTCATCCAAGTGTCCAGGCCTGTGCAGTTGCAAGATGAGGTGGAGAAGCTGGTGCGTGAGAAACAATTCGACAGGCTTGAGGCCCCTCTGAAATCTGATGCATTCTGCAGAGTTTTGCCCGTTGACGCCGCTGAGAAATCCGGTGCAGCACATGCCTCTGGTGAATCCATGCGACGCGTGTGTGTGACCGCTGAGCATTTGGGCAATGACCTGGAGGAGTTTTTCAAGGATCTTTTGGCAAGCAAGGAAGTGTACCTGGAGAAATCACTGGCTCTACTGGCTGCTTTCAAAGCTGCTTCATGGCTGGACCAACTTCGTCAGGACAGACGTTCAAATTTTGGCAAATCTTAAAGCATCGCTGCACTACAGGCTGTCGTTTGAGTTCGTCAACAGCTTTGAACATTTGCTCAATTACATGATGCATTGGCAAGAAGTTCAGAATTGATGGCTTAATCTATGTAACGAATCTGTTTATCACTAGTGAAGTTGCGGGAGAGCTTCCTGGCAAGTATCTTGCTTTTGTTGGCTGTCTTGGCTGTCCTCAAATGTTCCCGTTCAGACTTACATCGTGTCCCTAGGTCTAGGTCTATAAGCTCTTCGTGTCTTCGAGTGAAGTGTTTGGGTAATCAGGTAAGTCTTCGGTCAAGAGCTGAGACTTTGTGATCTGAGTGCAATATGGGCGTTACTATCTCGGAATGTTGCGTAGGCAGCGCAATGGCGTTGGTGTGAAAAGTCAGGTCGACGATCAGACGTTGCGTAAAGCACATAAAATTGACGCCTGTACCCAATAGATCAGGATAGGCTATTTTCTGCCTAATAATTAACTTGTTGTCTTAGACCAAAGAGATAATTATTTTAACTAAATTTTAAATAGATAATTATTTTAAGCTATTTTTAACTATGTTTTGAACATTCTATTTTTTTAAACAAATTCTCTTAAAACCATCAGAAACTATTGTTAAAAACTATTTTTAACTATGTTTAAGTATGTTTATCTAATTTCGAGTTATTTCTAACTATTTTTTTGAAACTATTGGCACCGTTTTTCTGATTTGTTTACCTTTTTTTCTTTAATATTTCTTGATCTTCACTATGTTGTCCCTATTTCTCATTAGCCTTGAGCTTTTTAATGATTATTCAACACTAGGTTGTAAAAAACAACAACAAAATCCAAGAAAAACATGATTTCAACAACAGTAATGTTAGCAGGATTCAGCACAGTACCCCAGGTCAATTCTTTCAACAAGATTTCAGTTAGCAATTTCTTTCACAGCATGTGTGGAAACTCACCACCAAACACAGTACCTTAGATCAATTCACATTCAAACAACATTGCAATCCATCACAGAACAACAGCCAAAAATCCAATCATTATTCAAAATCTTCTCTTGATGTCCAATATTTTTTTTTGAAATACCTTCGTGTTTTTTGTTGTCTTTGTTTTTCTTGCTGGTTTTGATTTTACTGTAGCCTTCTTCTTGGGATTAGCCTTTGCTTGGGCCTTCTCTTTGCTTGTTGCCTTGGCTTTGGCTTTTGCTTTTGGATCTGGCTCACTTGCGCCAGTTTCCAGAGCAAGTAGTTTTGTGCTTTAGTTTGCAATCTCTTCCTGGTTTTCTGCTGCCTCTGTTCCTGTTGGCTCAGCTACTGTTGCATCTGCTTCCTCTGGTTCAAGTGCTGAACCTGGTTCAATTGCATTTTTGGTAGGTGACTTCCGACTAGAGGCTGGTTTCTTCATTCCCATTGCTTGGGTGCTGCTACTTGGTTTGAGAGGGTTGGCAAAGGGTGAGACTAAAAGTGTGAGAGAATTTGGCGACATTGCGGTACCATATTGTACGTAGACGTAGGTGTAAAATGTTTACTTTGTCATGAGTCAACGCCCCCGTGTATAAAGATGAAGACAGGTTTAGCACCTTTTTTAAATGAACCGCAGTTTTGGCTTCAGTGCCTATGGACGAGGGGCACCCTATCATACGGTGCCCCTGCGTACTTTACCTTAGCTGGCGGCGGGTTGGAACGCTTTTGTGCCGTGCGGACAATTCCGACCGCTTTAGGTCCCTGGCGTTGCGCCGAACCAGGGATCTGTTTGTGGAGCTGCTGGACGAGCTCGAAGGCGTCCAATCTCCTGTGGGTGCACCTGTGGCAGCAGGGGTACCGCGGGTGACTAGTGCGGAGGGACAAGACCTTGCTGTGCCCAAACCTCCTCCGGCTGAGCCCCCCGGAGGACCTCGATTGGGAGCCCCCACCGAGGAAAGAACTCCCGCACCCGGGGAGATTGTAGTTGGCCCGGCCCAGGCCACTTCCAAGGCTGCAGCCCCTCCTCCGCCTGAAACCGCGGCTGCTGTTCCTGCGCCCGACCAAGAAGAAACCAAGTCTCCCGCAAAAGAGGGAGTGAATACAACCAAGCCCACCAAAGAAGACAAGCCACACAAGAAAAAGAAAGACCGGAGTACCAAGGAGAAAAAACCTAAGAGGTCAAAGTCCCAGAGGAGATCTCAGCTCAGAAGTAGCACTCCTGTCAAAGAGGAGTCGGAAGAAGGCAAGCTAGACAAGCCCCCAAGAACTCGCCGTCGACGAAGCTCTACCAAGGACTCCCGCAGCACTCGGAGGGAGAAAAGATCCAGACCAGCCCGCGCAGACCAGAGTCTAACCAGTCAGAGGGAGGAAGACCGAGAGCGGCAAAGAGAAAGACGAAGAAGCCCGTCCAGAAGGGAGAAAAAACGAAGAGACTCCCGATCGAGAAGCCGAGGCCGTGACTGGCGAAGAGACGGTTGTCACCCAGGTGGGAGAGACACTGAGCAGGGGTCAGCATCCTCCCGTGGCCACTTACCACCTCCCGAACCAGCCACACCACCTCAAAGGTGGACACCAGCTCCAAGAGGACCCCCTCCTGAGAAGTTTTACTCTACGCCCTACGCTTACTCCTATTGGAAGGGGTACAATAGGGTCTGGACCCAGAGTAAGGGAGCTAAAAGGAGAGCAAGGGCAGAGGATATTCGAGTCTACGGTACCGACCCTGAGCGAAAGGCAGACAGGGAGCGTAGAGACCGTGGTGGCTGAGACCAGCCATCCGGAGATCAGCGGCGAGGGCAGGACTGCGTGAGCCTGCTAACAGCCCAGGTACGCTGAGGATACTGGCAGTGGCAGAAGAATAGGAGCCCTTGACCTCCCGAGAAAAGAGGGAGACTGGTGAAGAGACCTGCTCTTGCGATACTACTCCCGAGGTGGTTGGGAGCGGCGCTTGGGACAAGTTGGCACAGACCGACTACTTTGAGAAGGAGGTTGACATTGTGGACAAGGTTGAACGCGTGGTGGAGGAGCTGAGGGAGATTGGGAGTGGAATTTATCCTCCCGCAATTGGTGTCCTCCTGTGTTTAGGGTGCTGTGAGCGGAAGAGATGCAAACAGGAATTATTCCACCTGATCAAGTTCAAGAAGGTCGAGGCCGAGGACCCGAGGACATGCAAAGACAACCTACAAGTGGAGGGCGAGAAAGAGAGGCGCAGAGGCCAGCGACAAACAAGGATGGACTCCCGTCAAGAAGGCTCCAAGACCTAGTGGGAGGAGAGAAAAGACAAGAGCAGAAGAGAAGACAAAGAAAAAAGCAAAGAGAAAGACAAGGGAGAGAAAAAGGGAAGGGAGGACTTGAAGAAGACAGAAGGATGAGAATGAAGGGAGACGTCTCGCTCAGGAGCACTCCCGAGGCCAGTGGGAGTGAGAGAAAAGAAGAGGAGGAGCAAGACCAAGGTTGTGAAGATCTGGATGGCGAGGCTTGGCAGGAAGAGCACAGTGGGGCAAGGGCAACGTTTCACCATGAGGAAGTGGGAGAGACTGCCATCTCTCCCAAGGGTACAAGTTTTACAGGAGTTGACGAAAACCGAGGGATGATGAAGAAGACGAATGACTCTTTCAGGAGTACTCCCGAGAACAGCGGGAGAGAGAGACGAGGAGAGGAAGAACAAGATCGATGGGCTGAAGACCTTGGTGGCGAAGCTTTGAACAAAGAGCGCAGTGGGGCAAGGATAGCGTTTCACTATGAGGATGTGGGAGAGGCTGCCATTTCTCCCGACACTACGTTTTGTACAGAAGCCAATTTGGGTGCAAATGACCCTGATCGGGCCTTCTCAGGCTTGGGCCGAGAGACCGCGAAAAAAGGAAAGTGCGCAGAAAGGGGGGATGTTGGGGTGGATGATTTAACAACCTGGCTAGAAGGTAAGTTGGACGTTTTCTTTGATAGGCTCTGCAAGACCAAGCCCTCGGGTAGGATTTTTCCCCTACCCACGTCCTCCTTTTACCTCAGCCGGGTTTTTCCTGACCTCCCCCCTAGTGTGATTTGTATGTTGCGTACTCTAGTTGTTTCACTTAATTCACTCAACGGAGAAGGAATTTGGAATCAGTGTGAAGGGACCCTCCTGCAACAAGAAGTCTTGGAGGGGCTGTGTGATGATTGTCGCCGTGTGTGCTCGTGGATTGACAAAGGACCTCCTGTAGGGTGGGAGGATTTCTTCCGTTGTAGAGGAATAGACTATAAAGGAGATGAAGTTATGACGGCACAGCCCATGCAGTGGGAAAATGTGAAGGGAGCACTCCCGAAGGAAGTGGGAGGAGTGGCCTTGGCCGAAGTGGTTGAGATGGGCTCCCGACATTACGTCCTCAATTTTGAGGAGTATCTGCTGGCGGTCGAAGATCAGAAATATACCAGACCTCCCCGGGTGATGGTTCCTCCTGCAGAATGGGAGACGTTTTGTACAGAACTCCTGAGGTTGGGAGTATTCGACAAGATCCATGAAGATGACCTGCACAAAGTTGAGGGCAAACCCTTGCTTAATGGACTTTTCGGAGTTTCTAAGGGAGAATTTGATGGCCCCTGGGAATCCATGAGGATCATCATGAATTTGGTGCCGGTAAACCAAGTTGTCCGTAGTATAGAAGGAGATGTGGGAACCCTGCCATCTTGGGCAGGGATGACACCACTGAGTTTGATGCCTGACGAGGACTTGATCATATCAAGTGAAGATGTCAGGTGTTTCTTCTATATTTTCAAGATCCCTTTGGCCTGGCATAGGTTCATGGCATTCAATCGACCATTACCTCCTAGTCTTTGTGGGTCGAAGCAGGGTAACTGGTACCCCTGCAGCGCTGTGTTACCTATGGGTTTTAAGAATAGCGTTGCGCTTGCACAACACGTGCATCGGTATATCTTACGTCAGGCACTGCAAGGGCTTTCTATTGTGGGTGAAGGGGAGTTGAGAAAAGATCGAACCTTCCCGTCTTGCAACCCCATGTACAGAATTTACCTTGACAATTTTGACGAACTTCGTAAGGTATCAAGGCACTTAGCAGAGACGGTGGAGGGCAAGGTTCCCCATTGATTGCAGGACTACGGGAAGAATATCTGCGAATGGGCGTCCCAAGACACCCAAAGAAAGGGGTGGCATCACAACGAAGGGCGGAGGTCCAAGGTGCTATTGTAGATGGCACTGCAGGAGTGGCCTACCCCAAACCTGAGAAGATCTTGAAGTACATGCAGCTGAGTAGGTTACTTCTGGAGCAGCAGGTGTGCACCCAGAAACAGGCTCAGGTGGTTGCAGGGGGTCTAGTGTACTTTTCAATGTTCAGGCGCCCACTGCTTGGCTGCCTGAATGATATTTGGAAATTTATCACTGGGTTTGATGGCTCCCCACCTTTCATAAAGATGGCTATTCCGGCTGGTGTAAAAACGGAAATTGCCCGCTTCATGGGCCTTGTTCCACTGGCCTACATGGATTTTCGGACCCAGATCTCTGCCCGAGTGACTGCAAGTGATGCTTCAGAATATGGTGGAGGTCTGACAGTGAGCACAGGCCCCACACCGGCGGGGTGTGTGGCCAGCCAGTGCCCGGTCAGAGGAGACTTGATGGAGCCTTCGGATCTAACGGCTGTCCTCACCATTGGGCTGTTCGATGGCATCGGAGCTTTGCGGGTAGCAACGGATGTGCTTGGATGGCATGTGCAGGGCCACATTAGCGTAGAAATTTCCCCCCAAGCCCACAGGGTTGTGGAATCTAGATTTCCTAATACCATTGCCGTTCATGATGTACAGGAAATCACTCTCAGCACTGTCCAAGGTTGGGCACGGCGGTTTTCCCAAGTAGGATTGGTAGTTTTGGGGGCAGGACCCCCTTGTCAAGGAGTCAGTGCACTCAATGCTGACCGCAAAGGTGCATTGAAAGATGCGCGCAGTAGCTTGTTTGTCCATGTTAGCCGAATTAGAGACCTCGTTAAACGATGTTTTCCATGGGCGCAAGTGAGGAGTTGATGGAGCCCGTCGCCTCCATGGATTGGCAGGATGAGCAAGTCATGTCAGCTGACTTTGGGTGTGAGCCGTGGCAAATTGATGCGGCCGGAGTGTCACTGGCCCGAAGGCCGCGCCTCTACTGGTGTGACTGGGAATTGCGCCAAGGCAATGGTGTGACACTGGGAAGTCCTGATGGTTGGAGGCGCGAACTCCTGCTGACTGCCGTACTGGAGGAGCGAAAATTTTTACTGCCAGGGTGGAAGAAGGTGGGGACTGAGCCACTTCCCACCTTTACCACTGCTAGACCACGGTCATCCCCAGGTCACAAACCAGCAGGACTGAGGCACTGCGAAGCAGATGCCCGACAACGCTGGGAGCAAGACCAATTTAGATTTCCACCTTATCAGTACAGATCTTGTTTCTCGCTTGTTAATTCCAAAGGCGACATCCGAGTACCTTGCATAGAAGAACGTGAAGTGATCATGGGCTTTCCCCGTGATTACACGTTTAACTGTTTGCCAAAGGCAAAGCAGGGTAACCAGGACCATTTGGACTCACGATTGACTCTCGTAGGCAATTCCTGGAACGTGACCGTTGTGGCATGGATCTTATCTCAACTGGGAGCACTTTTGGGACTGAATGAGCCTCTCAGTGTGCAGGAGGTCGTGGAGCGCTCTTCCCCAGGCGCTACAAAGGATTTCCAATCCTTCCTCCAGAGACCGTACTTGGAGCGCAAGCATGCTCCTGTCACCCATGGCTGTGAAGACAAACTGGTACGAAAACTACTGACCTTGGTCAGCATCAAAGGTGAAGACATCATGCTGCAAGCAGCAACGGAAGACCAAGTCAGATATCACCGCCTAAGGGCAAGTGTACCAGCCAAATTATGGAATTGGCGTACTGTGGCGGGATGGCGCTGGACGGGATCGCGCGAACACATCAATGTACTGGAGCTGCGCGCCGTGTTGACATCACTGAGGTGGCGCATTGAAAGGTGCAAATCCCTACACAAGAAATTCGTGCACCTTGTTGACTCACAAGTGGTGTTACACGCCCTTAGTCGAGGCCGTAGTAGTTAGTAGTAGCCGCAAGTTGAAACGTACCCTATTACGCGCAAATGCTCTGCTTCTGGCAACACGTTGTCAAGTAGTATGGGCCTATGTCCATACTAAGTTGAACCCAGCGGATGGCCCAAGTAGGCATCCGCAAAAAAGGAAATGGAGTCATGCCCAAGCGACATCTTGAGGCACCGACCCCAGAAGCTCGAGCAAAAATGCGTAAATCATTGGGTACTTTAAAACAACTTACAGTCCAACCCACCACACGAGTGCGGTATGATCAAGCGCTGAGTGATTTTTTCAAATTTTTAAAAGCCATTGGTAAATCCGTACCTCAGTCGGTCGTTGAGCTCGACCTTTTAGTTTCCGATTATTTGGAACAACTCTGGGCGGAGGGTCAGGGACGATCCTCAGGATCTAATGTCCTTGCAGCTCTACAAGATTCACAGCCACACTTGAAAGGTAAGCTCCTCCAAAGCTGGAGGTTGATGAAAACTTGGGTAGTACATGAGGTGCCTAACCGGGCCCCTCCATTGCCATTGGAGCACCTCGAAGCGATGGTGGGTTACAGCCTTTTTAAAGAGCGACCCCTGTTTGCCCTCTCGCTTTTAGTGGGTTACTTTGGGCTCCTGCGGACGGGAGAAATTCTGTCCTTGAGTGCCAATCATGTTTCAGTGACAAGCCCCAAGGGGCCCGCTGTTATTTCACTTGGACTCACTAAAGCGGGCAAGCGGCAAGGAGCCGCTGAGTCCGTGACCATCCATGTTGAGGATGTTTGCCGTCGCCTGTATCAATGGAAGTCGCAGGCTAACCATCAAGCCAAGTTGGCGAGTTCCAATTATCAGTGGAGAAAGACTTTTAATGACACAATCCAAGCCTTAGAATTTAATGCAGTGGATTTCAGACCGTATTCCCTTCGGAGAGGGGGATCCACTCATTTTTTCACCCGGCAAGGTTCTTTCGACAAACTGCTCGTCCTCGGACGATGGCAGTCCACTAAAACTGCCCGCATATATGTCAATGAGGGAGTCGCCGTCTTGGCCGAACTCAATTTGAAACTGAACCCCTTTGCAAAAACTGTCCGATCCCAATATCTCCGTAGTTTCACTATAGATCTGCCAAAACTTTCGCCCGCACCTAAATCGGTGCAGGCCAGGGGGACTTGGAAGAAGCAGAAGAAGCACCACAAAAGGCATCCAAAAAGTGCACAAGGATGTGCAATGGGTTTGGACTCTTGATTCTTGGGCATGGCCGGAACAAGAGTAGCCTTATCTCACTTTGGCCAGGGATCACTTAGGGCATGGCCGAGTACCCTGGGGGTGAGTGGATGGTATCCTATATGGTTTTTGATGGTGCCATAAAAGAGGGGGAAAAACTTTTTCCGTTCTGAATTTGTTTAACTGATGTTTTAAATTTATTTAATTGATAAACCTGGTCTTGCAGAGCTTAAAAAAGGAGCGTCCTGACTGAATCTTTGAGTCAACGCCCCCGTGTATAAAGATGAAGACAGGTTTAGCACCTTTTTTAAATGAACCGCAGTTTTGGCTTCAGTGCCCCCCCCTTATTTCCCCCCCAGAAGAAGCAGAAGAAGCACCACAAAAGGCATCCAAAAAGTGCACAAGGATGTGCAATGGGTTTGGACTCTTGATTCTTGGGCATGGCCGGAACAAGAGTAGCCCTATCTCACTTTGGCCAGGGATCACTTAGGGCATGGCCGAGTACCCTGGGGGTGAGTGGATGGTATCCTATATGGTTTTTGATGGTGCCATAAAAGAGGGGGAAAAACTTTTTCCGTTCTGAATTTGTTTAACTGATGTTTTAAATTTATTTAATTGATAAACCTGGTCTTGCAGAGCTTAAAAAAGGAGCGTCCTGACTGAATCTTTATATATACATACCTGTGTGTCTGAGTGTTTGTTTCTTTGTCTTTGTGCTTAGTATCATCGATATATTAAACATAATTTAGTGCTCCTTAAGGGAGCGGCGCCTTGCCGGTTTTTTTTTTGGTGGCATGCCAGCTGGGTCAGCGGCCCTTGTTTTCCTTCTGAGCAGTGACTGACAGAGGCAATCTCTAGACAGTCTCTGTTGCGGGTATGTCACACTTGACATTGTTACTCGTAGTGGCATCATCAAACTCATTTGCTTTCACTATTCCTCCATGAAGGTTGAACCACAGCACATGGAAGAAACAACATGATATCTGTTTTGTTTGGTTTCATGTGACTGATGAAATTGCCACAATTTCTCTGAGCCAAGCGCAGGGAAAACAAACCACACATCAAACAGAAAACTACAGCAACAATCAAAACGCAAACAAATGCAGCAAAGTGATCCTACTGCCGCATTCTTTTGGCATGATGTACCGACCCAAGTGGATGCAAAACAGTCCAAAGCAAAAACACATGCAGCAAAGCAATCCTATTTTTCTTTTTGCATGGCTGACCTTACCCAAGTGGATGGAAAACAATCCAAAACCCAAACAAATGCAGCAAAGGAGTCCTAAGATGGAAACAATACAAAGCCAAAACAAATGCAGCAAAGTAATCCTAATGCAATGGCAGTGGTTGTTCACACTGCTGAACCTTTTGGATTGTCTCTTCCGGCTTTCAGTGGAAAAGGTATGGTACGCATCCTTTCTGTTTCTATATGTTTCTTCTGAATGTTGTACATGAACTGATGCTCTGAGAAGCATGTGGTTTGCAGTGGTTTGCAGCAGGGTGAGATTCAAGACTTGCAAACGAAATAGCACCCATTAATAATGAAAGTAATGGAGAATTGTTTCTTGTGTATAGAAACCTTACCTGTTGGCATGGGTTACTTGGCTGATTGTGCATTTTCCCATGATGATTGCGTTTTCTGTTTGAGTGCCATTTTGATACCCTGCACGTCTAGGTCACATGAACTGGTTTTCTACTTCATGGATTGTCCAAATATGAAATAATATCTATTTGGATACTGGACTATCTTCATGTCATTCATATGGATTGGGACTGAAGTTCCATTGCCAGGCCATGACATTGGAAAAAGTATTGCCTGGACAGTAGAAGCCTTTTTTGTAGAGTCAAAGGATATATATATATATATAAAGACAAATCCTATAAATGTTCAATCATGTTTGATAAAAAATCATCAAGTGTTCAGGAATTTTTGGATAAGATCTGATAAGGTATGGATAAACTCATTAACAGTTTCATATGTTTTCATTTGTTGTGGATAAAATTTGATAGAAATTGGATAAGATTTATTTTTGGCGGATAAAAATGCAAAATCATTTTGGTTTCTAATGTCCAGGTATCATGCTTTTTCAGTGTCATAGCCTGACACTGGAACCTTTAGCTCTACTCATCATGAATGACATTCATGAAACAGAGTATCCAAACAATTGCTTAGGCAATCCATGAAACAAACAAATACATTACGTGACTTAAACATCTATGGAATCAACATGTGAGGTTGTCTCCAAGCTTTTGGGTGCCCCAAGCTTCCATTTTTCCTTCAAAAAGAAGGGGGTTGGGGCACCCAAATTTTGGGCGCCACTATTTTGAGACATGACCATGCTACTTAATTAATAAAACAGGATGTTGTGAAGAAAAGCGCGCAAAATCAGCCAAGTGGTTCACGTCAACCGTGTTCCTTCACATTGAAACTATTCACCAACCTTATTTTTACCATTGAGCCCTAGTTTAGATAGAACTCTTTAATCAAGCCCTGCAAAGACCTCGTCCATGATAAAAGAGGGAGCTGGCCAGGTGTGTTTGAACTCAAAATTCAACATGTTTTTTTTGAAGAAACACAATGCCAATTTCAATGGGGTATGAAGGTTTGATTCAACATTTGCAGTCAAACTTTCAGGGGGGTATGAAAGTTTAATTAAAACTTTGCAGTCAAACTTTCAGGGGGTATGAAAGTTTGATTGACAGTTTGCAGTGAAAGTTTAAAGTTTCAACTGAAACTTTCAACCCTATATTTTGCTTATTATTATAACTGAAATTAGATTGAAAGTTTTGATTGAGACTTTCACTGCAAACTTTCAGGGGGGTATGAAAGTTCGATTGAAACTTTCACTGCAAACTTTCAGGTGGGTATGAAAGTTTGACTGCAAACTTTCAATCAAACTTTCAATGCTGTCCTACAAAATTGTTCACATGTGTTCTTTTTTTAGCTGAAACCAGAGCTTCCCATCAAATTTGTAGATGTTTGTACCAAGAAAAAGGGCTACCCAAGTAGTCCTACAGCCAGAAAGTCATCCTACAGCCAATCGAAAGTACACTAAGGTGTAGAGGGCGCAAACAAAAAAACAGCCGAAGACACAAACATGTACTTTGCAACTCTTATGGACATATTTAAATATCAGCCCCGCCAAAAATTATAATTTTTGGTGGGTCCCAAAGTTGAAGATGAAAGATGTTCTTCGCACATCTTGTAGTAATATTCAGCAGGCTAAGGGTTGTTGGCAAACACATTTAAAAACAGAATTTTGTCCTCATCATCAAGCCTTTTCCTGACTTGCACCATCTATGTGCGTACCAAACGTGGAGGCGTGGGGCCCAAATTTGGGGATTGAAGATGCTTTTGCAAATCTTATGGAGGTATGCGAATTTGAACCCCACCAAAACAACATATTTTTGGGCTTTTGGTGAGGTCCAAACTTGAAGATTAAAGATGTTATTTGCACATCTTGCCGAAGTATTCAGGAGGCTAAGAAGGGTTGGACTTGGCAAACACATTTTTTTTTCAAAAAACAGTGTCAAGAAAAGGGTTTGGAGTCCCCATTATTTTTGAAACCTCCATTCAAAGGAATAATCTTATTTGTTGGTCATAGGATTCCTTTAAAAACAAAAGAAAGGAATCTTATCAAAAAACATTGGCAGACAGACCATTGTGTTCAACGAACCTGCACTTGCATATGGTGATTCCTGCATTTTTCTTTCCACTGCCAATACTTACTCAGCGGGTTTCCTTGCAACAAGTTTGAAGTTTTTTATGGTTAATAGAATGGAAGCCGAATTCGCGCGCGAACCCAACTGGAAAAATAAATACAATTTAGACACTTGCTGAGCTAGAATAATAGCCTGGAAGATCACCAGGGGTGAAAAAATGCTTGAGGTCGTTGCTGCATCACCTGCGCATCATGTAGGTTGTACACCATATGGATTGGAAAAGGTAATCCTAAAACCATGCAGCAATCCTACAAAAGGAAAGACATTCAAAAAAAACAGAAAGTACAAGTATCATAGAAATCGCTAGGATTACTTTGTTGCATTTTTGTTGCAAAGGTTATGGCAAATCTTGTTTTTTTTTGATTGTTTTTCATCCACTTGGGCAAGGAAAACCATGCCAAACAAAACATTGCATTAGGATTACCTTGCTGCATTTGTTTTGGTTTTGGATTGTTTTCCATCCATTTGGGCAAGGAAAACCATGCCAAAAAAAACAAACATTGCATTAGGATTACCTTGCTGCATTTGTGTTGTTTTTGGATTGTTTTCCATCCACTTCGGTGGGGTAAAATCATGCAAAACAAACAAACATTGCATTAGGATTACTTTGCTACATTTGTCTTGGTTTTGGATTGTTTTCCATTCACTTTGGTAGGGCAAGTCATGCAACAAAACCAACCATTGGATACGGATTACTTTGCTGCATTTGTTTTGGCTTTGGATTGTTTTCCATCCACTTCGGTAAGGTAAGTGATGCAAGAAACAACATTAGGATTACTTTGCTGGATTTATTTTGGTTTTGGATTGCTTTCCATCCACTTGGGTAAGGTCAGCCATGCAAAAAGAAAAATAGGATTGCTTTGCTGCATGTGTTTTTGCTTTGGACTGTTTTGCATCCACTTGGGTCGGTACATCATGCCAAAAGAATGCGGCAGTAGGATCACTTTGCTGCATTTGTTTGCGTTTTGATTGTTGCTATAGTTTTCTGTTTGATGTCTGGTTTGTTTTCCCTGCGCTTGGCTCAGAGAAGTTGTGGCAATTTCTTCAATCACATGAAACCAAACAAAACAGATATCATGTTGTTTCTTCCATGTGCTGTGGTTCAACCTTCATGGTGGAATAGTGAAAGCAAATGGGTTTGATGATGCCACTAAATTATGGTTAGTATATCAATAGATGGATGCTAAGCACAAAGACAAAGAAACAGACACTCAGACACGCACACACACGGGTATATATACATATATGACAAAGTAAACATATTACACCTCCATATGGTACCACAATGTCGCCAAATTCTCTCACACTTTTAGTCTCACCCTTTTGCCAACCCTCTCAAACCAAGTGGCAGCACCCGAGCAATGGGAATGAAGAAACCAGCCTCTACTCGGAAGTCACCTACCAAAAATGCAATTGAACCAGGTTCAGCACTTGCTTCCAGAGGAAGCAGATGCAACGGTAGCTGAGCCAACAGGAACAGAGGCAGCAGAAAACCAGGAAGAGATTGCAAACTAAAGCACAAAACCACTTGCTCCGAAAACTGGCGCAAGTGAGCCAGATCCAAGAGCAAAAGCCAAAGCCAAGGCAACAAGCAAAGAGAAGGCCCAAGCAAAGGCTAATCCCAAGAAGAAGGCTACAGTGAAATCAAAACCAGCAAGAAAGACAAATACAAAAAAATGAATGTGTTTCAAATAAAAGTAATGGACAACACGATAATATTTTGAATAATGATTGGATTTTTGGCTGTTGTTTTGTGATGGATTGCAATGTTGTTTGAATGTGAATTGATCTAAGGTACTGTGTTTTGTGGTGAGTTTCCACAAATGCTGTGAAATAATTTGATAGCTGGATCTGATATAGTCTGGTCTGTGGTGATTCTTTTTCTGGCCCCTGTGTGTTATTTTTGTCCTGCTAACATTCATTTGAATGTGCTGTTGAAACAATTTCTCAAAGTAATCCTACGCAATGCTTCAAAGTAATCCTACACAAACCAACAAGGTAATCCTAGGAACTTTAATCCACTTTTTCACATTTTTTGACAAAAACTAGTTAAACACATAGTTAATTTTGAAATCTAAAAAAGTGAAAGACACAAACTAATTAGTTGATGTTGAATTAACTAAATAGTTAATTTTGAAGTTAGCAAAATTAGCTTAAAATAGGTAGGAAATGAACTATTAACTATCTATTAACTATTAACTACTAGGTCCACCGCGCGTAATCGGCCGTGGTGTAAAACAGGATTTTCAATGATTCAATGTTGTTTGAATCACGCAATTACAATGCGTTTTATGGACAGTCTTTGATTTCACCTGTTTCATGCGTAGTTCCATTGGGGAAAATATTGTCATTATAGAAACCATTAGTAATTGCGAGCAAAATATTGTATTTTTTTGCCCGCAACTAAGGAGTCCATTTATCTTTTGTGCATCATCGCCATTACCGCCATCACCGTCTTCACCCTCTTCATCATCATCATCATCATCATCATCAACATCATCACCATCATCATCACCATCATCATCATCATCATCATCATCATCATCTTTTTCTTACACCATGTTCGGTATGTAGGGCCAATGGGGACCATCCGTGCGCTCCTTTCACTTTTTCCACTGGCGCTCAATTCGACTTCAGCAGTCTGCGGAGTTGAGACATAAATCCTTGAGGGTTCAAAGGTGAGACGCTTTGTCTAAAGACAAACTGGAAAATTAATTTGTCGAGTGTTGGGTTCACAACGTAGCATCAAGAGCGTGTAAAGGTCTAAGAAGAAAGTTCACAACGTAGCATCAAGAGCGTGTAAAGGTCTAAGAAGAAAGTTCACAACGTAGCATCAAGAGCGTGTAAAGGTCTAAGCAGAAAGTTCACAACGTAGCATCAAGAGCGTGTAAAGGTCTAAGAAGAAAGTTCACAACGTAGCATCAAGAGCGTGTAAAGGTCTAAGCAGAAAGTTCACAACGTAGCATCAAGAGCGTGTAAAGGTCTAAGAAGAAAGTTCACAACGTAGCATCAAGAGCGTGTAAAGGTCTAAGCAGAAAGTTCACAACGTAGCATCAAGAGCGTGTAAAGTTCTAAGAAGAAAGTTCACAACGTAGGATCAAGAGCGTGTAAAGGTCTAAGCAGAAAGTTCACAACGAATCGTCAAGAACGTGTAAAGGTCTAAGCAGAAAGTTCACAACGTAGCATCAAGAGCGTGTAAAGTTCTAAGAAGAAAGTTCACAACGTAGCATCAAGAACGTGTAAAGTTCTAAGAAGAAAGTTCACAACGTAGCATCAAGAGCGTGTAAAGGTCTAAGCAGAAAGTTCACAACGTAGCATCAAGAACAGAAAGTCAAAAAGAAAGTTCACGCATAGCAGAACGTTATCACACCCCCCCAACCCCCCCCCAAAAAAAAAAATCACAACATAGCATCAAGAACGTGCAAAGTTCTAAGCAGAAAGTTCACAACGTAGCATCAAGAACGTGTAAAGGTCTAAGAAGAAAGTTCACAACGTAGCATCAAGAGCGTGTAAAGGTCTAAGCAGAAAGTTCACAACGTAGCATCAACAGAACGGAGTCAAGAAGAACGCACGCGACAGAACGTTATCACACCCCCCCAAACCCCCCCCCAAAAAAAAGCACAAAAAAACAAAAAATTGGAGAAAAAAAGCTTGAAAAACGGACCATAGGCACGGCGAGAACAACACGAAATGCGGTAAAAACTAATGCAAAGAGACCAAAAAACAACAAAAACGCCACGGCCTTCTATGAGCGGTGGTCCAACTACTAGGCATAAAATAGCCTAACCTGATCTATTGGGAAGTCAGATCGATGATCAAACGTTGCGTAAACCACACAAAATTGACGCCTATAGTAGCCAAAGAAATGGTTCGCGAGGTTGTCTAGGTCTCCTAGAGGCTTTCATCAATAATCCAGGCAACATTTTGTCTGGCAGATTGTTTTGTGGTGGGCTGTCGGGTGCAAACTTGTTGAGTTTCGCTGAGCCACCATGCTTCACGCGTTTTCGAGAAAGTCATGTTTGCGGCATTCTGCTTGAGATCACAGTAGGACTAGGTGTGAATCGAAATTGACGCTGTTGAGATGACACTAAATCAGCATCGGCACCTTGGCATATTGCAGGACTCATGCTTCATTCGGGAGAGCTTGTTGAAATGGCAAAGTCGGCTCAGAGAAGCTTGAACTCAAGTCTACAGAATCACTTCCTTGCCATCGAATCCTACCTCCGCGATCCGAGCAACTCAGCATGCCTGTATGACATCAGTGCTGTGCAGCGTTTGCACAATCTCTTCCGCATCAGTCACTCTTTTGACGATTTGTCAGATGTCTGAGCCTAAGTGTCCGGTGTCAGCTGATGGGCCTTAACTAGGAAGTCTTTTTCAAGTGCATGCGCTTGCAAGACAGGGGCTTAATGGGGCTTATACAGTCCTTGTTTGAGTTGATGTGCAGAGTTATGCCCCCCATATTCATTTGCTTGATCATACAGACATGACATGTCAGTGTTTCAAATGCAATCGGTTTTCACGCAGCAAATCCCCACATGCACCGACCAGCTATGGTGTTTTCACAAAGACCGAATTCTCTTGTTCAAAGCATGCTTCCTTAGGACGATCATTTATTTCCAGGTGATGCGCCGCAGTTTCCTAATCTTCACCCCATTAACAAATTTGCTCACAAGAAGCGCCTAGATTTGCACATTATGACATGTCAATCGATTCTCTCTGAGGCCGATGTTGAATTCAATGGTAGAGTGGCTGCAGCGCTAGAAGTTTGGATGGAAACCAATTGCAAGGACATTTTGGTGTCAAACAAGGAGTTCAACTTTGCTGCAATGCCTGCAGCAGCAATCCATACAGCACTTGCAGTGCACTCCGCACTTGGTATGTACCCCAAGACTAGCCAAACATTCGCTCCAGTGCTGGAAGGTTCGAAGAAAATCTTGCGACAAGCAAGTTGTGCAGCTGACGAAATTCTGAAGACTGGAACATTCCAAGAGAAGGATCAACTTCTAGCTTCCGTACAGAAGTTCACAGCAAAATCTGACCCACGTCTTTGCGGAGCTCAAGCCGATCGACGAAATGCGTTCCATCATTGGTGCGCATGCTCTTCAGTTGTTGCAGGAAGTTCGCCAAAAGATTGAGGTGTCAGTTGAAGAGGCTGAGCGAATTCTGTCACACATATTGCCGGTGACTCACTTGTCCGACATGGTGTGGAAGCAAGTTGGGGCGGAGATCAAGCTTCTGCAGACGTCAATTGATTTGCGAAACCAAGACGTAGGAACAGAGATGGAGCAAGCCATGGCAGAATTTGATTTCAAAGCTGTCAGGAAGTATTTGAAGCCGCAGGATCCCAGCAGCACATTCCAAAATCAACGGTGCGAAGGGCGAATCAAGAGTGTCAAGGTGGCCATGTCAAGCATGATTTCTTCTGCCAAATATGATCTTCCATCAAATCCGTCCCAATTTTCGCAGAAGTATTTCAAGCTTCAGGGTGCAGTAGAGGACATTGGCGATTTGCTGGATGATGTGCAGCCAGAGGTAGAAAGTCTTGAGAGCTATACCAACGAAGTCTTCCAGCAAAAGTGCAATGAACATGAGCGTTCTGTCCAGGATTTTCGCACTGCAGACATCTTTCGAACACGTGCGGCGCTGCAGGTTTTTCATGCCTGCGTGGGTCCCCCAGTCAACATCTTGTCTCCAGAAAGCCAGCTGGCTTATGAAAACGCATGCAACAGCTGCGATAAGATGGTAGAATCAGTCCGTAACAGTTGCAAAGAGTTGGGCAACGCATTGAGTGCCCTGGCATCGGGCAATGGAGAAAGTGTGGCAAAGGATGCGAAAGAGAAGCTGCGAGAAGTGCTGAGGTTTCTTGACCACGTGCAACTATCCCAAGGCACCGGACAGACTGAAACTCTGTACCCTGAGTTGGTGAGCATGCTGAAAGATGACTTCGAGGATTTCCACGCCAAGATGGAAAAGACACCTGAGGATGAGATGAAGTATGCACTGGCGATCGAAGCCTATGACTTTCTCAATGATATGTTCCAGAGTGGAGTCGGGGCCCATGTTGTGCTGAGCTTTGATGTTGACGAGTGCTGCAAACGGCTAAAAGAAGCCAAGAAAGGCCAGGACCAAAAGTTTCTCCAGTTCTTGTTCAACAGAGAGAAGATTGAGCACATCAAGAATCCATTAAACAATCTGCGCTCACGGCACTATGACATGTGGAGGCAAATCTGGATTCAAACAACCAGCCCACTGTATCACGTTCGGGTGGCAGAGGTGCGCAAAGAAGTCCACGCATGCGTGGAGATCATGGAGAGGGAACTGAAATCTGCCAACTACTTCTCAGTGGGAGCGCATCTCGAGGCCATCACCCGCATCCGGGATCGGCTGCACGATCACTTGCCAGAAAAGAGTGTAGATTCCATTACGCAAGCCATCAAATTAGTCAAGGCAGCCTTTGACAAGATTGTCCAAGAGACGATCGATGCCACTGCGAACCAGGACTGTCATCGCATCGACAGGTTTTGCCGGCGATTTGTGACTGCAGTCCACTACCTGGGGAAGCATCTTCAGAAAAGCTATGACAAGCGTGAGCAGGATAAGCTGCTTCAGCAGTGCGAGCAGGTCCACACAGTCCTGCTGAGTTTCGTGGACAGCAAGTGGCAGGAATTTGACCAAAGCTTGCGCCGGATGGAAATTCGGAAGGCTCAGCGGCGCAACATGATGCAAGGTGTTTTTTTGTGCATGATTGTGTGTGATTGCAAGCATGGCAAAACGCAGCTCTTGTTTTTGATTCTCTATCCGACTCTATCCCGTCCGCTCCTCCTCCCGTCCTCCCGCTCCGCCGTCCTCCTCCTCCGCCTACACACAACTTTGTCACACACGACTTTGTCACACACGCACACACACAGCTTTGTCACACACAATCTTTCACACAACAACTTTGTCCCACACACACAACTTTGTCACACACCATCTTGCACTTATGGCACTTGCTGACATCGACCTTCGTTTGGCGTGCCAGGCGTAGCACTTATGGCACTGGGCTGTGTCTGGTGGCGCGCTTGGTCGCTCTTGATCGCCCGGGGCGCCGCGGCACTTTGCGCGGCAGGCGTGGCATTTGGCGACGTCGACCTTCCATTTGCGTAGCAGGTCGACCTTTGTTTTGCGTGGCAGGCGTGGCCCTTATTGCACTGGACTGGGTCTTGTTGCGCGCTCGGTCGCCGTTGGTCGCCCGGAGCGCCGCGGCACTTTGCGTGGCAGCCGTGACCTTGGCGACGTCTACCTTTGTTGTGCGAGGCAGGCGTGGCGCTTGGCGGCATCCACCTTCATTTTGCGTGGCAGGCGTGGCGCTTGGTGACGTCGACCTTCATTTTGTGCGCGCTTGGGTCTCGGTAGTCGCTGGTGACGCCGCGACACTTTGCGTGGCAGGTGTGGCACTTGGCGACATCCACCTTCGTTTTGCGTGGTAGGCGTGGAACTTGGTGACGTCGACCTTCGTTTTGCATGGCAGGCGTGGCACTTACGGCACTGGGCTGGATCTGGTGGCGCGCTTAGGTCCCGTCAGTGGCCGGTGACGCCGCGGCACTTTGCGTGGCAGGAGTGGCACTTGGTGACATCTACCTTTGTTTTGCGTGGCAGGAGTGGCACTTGGTAAGGGTGGCACTCAAGGCACAAAGTGGCAGGCGTGGCGCTTGGCGACATCCATCTATATACTTCGTTTGGCGTGGCAGGAGTGGCACTTGGCGACATCCACCTTCTTTTTGCGTTTTGCGTGGCAAGGGTCGCACTTGGTGACGTCGACCTCATTGTGCGTGGCAGGCGTGGCTGACGTCGATTGTGTGGCAGGTGCGGCCCTTGGTGAGAGCGACCTGCCTTTTGCGTGGCGGGCGTGGCACTTATGGCACTGGTCTGCGCTTAAAGGTCCCGTTATTCGCCGGTGACGCCCGCAGCACTTGGTGAGGCAGGCGTGGCACTTGGCGACATCCACCTACTTCGTTTGGCGTGGCAGGAGTGGCACTTGGTGACGTCGACCTTCGTTTTGCGTAGCAGGCGTGGCGCTTATGGCACTGGGCTGGATCTGGTGGCGCGCTTGGGTCCCCTTAGTCGCCGTTGCTGGCAGTTGGCGACATCCACCTTCTTTTTGCGTGGCAGGCGTGGCACTTGGTGACGTCGACCTTCGTTTTGCGCTGCAGGCGTGGCACTTACGGCACTGGGCTGGATCTGGTGGCGCGCTTGGGTTCCGTTAGTCGCCGGTGACGCTGCGGCACTTTGCGTGGCAGGTGTGGCACTTGGCGACATCCACCTTCGTTTTGCGTGGCAGGCGTGGCACTTGGTGACGTGGACCTTCGTTTTGCCTGGCCGGCGTGGCACTTACCGCACTGGGCTGGATCTGGTGGCGCGCTTGGGTCCCGTTAGTCCTTCACATGCATCTCTTTCACACACCACTCTTTCAAAGACAACTCTTTCACACACCACTCTTTCACAGACCACTCTTTCACACACTTGCTCAGAAACATCTTATCGAATTATTGATGTGGAATGCATCGCACGTGCAAAAACACTTCAGTATACCTGACAGGAGCGGTTGGATGACTAGAAGTGAGAAACTGTGCGAAGGTAATCTTTCTACGTCCTTGCTAGATGAGTCAACTCCTTCTGATGCAGCTCAAACCTTCATTATTGACCGTATACTGTTCCAGATTGCGACAACAGTGCAGAAATGAAAAGAAATGAAGATTGATCGACGCGCCGGTTCTGGGCTTAGCCGGTTGCCATTGACGATGAATTGGTACAGTGCAGGTACGTGCAGTTGATCAGACTGCATATCCTCTCCAAACATCAGTAGCTTCGTTGGCCACGGACTGATGAATGGAGCCGTGGCCCCCTGCTTGATAAGACATATGAATTTGCATGAAACGTAAAATTCCTCGACCAAGTTTCCCTTTCTTGAAGGGACATGGGAAATTGCATGAAACTCAAAAGATTAAGCAATCAGGTTACGGAAGTTACCAAGATAGAAGTTTTACATCTTTTCAGATGTTCCACACACACGCCCCGCTGCCGCGAGGCTTTTTTATGGAGGTCACCAACGGCGAAGAGCTATTATCTGTTCCCTGAAGCAGGAAATTGCAATGGCTTCAAAACACAGGGAAATGGGTAGATGAATTAGCCCGAAGGCTCAGTCTTCGTTGATGATGTCAGTCCTCAATGTCCGACAGGGCCTCCATTTGCATTCTCAGAGCATGCTGCGACAAAGTCTGTGTCGTGGTTGCCAAGTGGCTGGCAAGGTGAGCCAAGTCTTCTGCCGTGAAGATTTGACATGGATCGGTGGCCAAGTCGGTTTGGTCCGTTTCAATCTTCTTAAGGATCGCTGCATTGGCTTCTCTGTCATTGCTGAGAATGTTGTACAGGATACTTGCCAGTTGGTGGATCTGACTTGGAACCGGTAATGTGCCAACGTTGGCCGCGTTGGACGGGTTGTCATCCATCACGGATTCATGGGGAGAGTCTTGGTACTCGGACGTCTGATCAGCATTGTCAGACGGTTGCCACGGCTGGTGCCAATGTTGGTAGTTGTCTACAGGCACGGGAATGCCGTAGAAACGACGCCAGTAATTGGCGAGGCGAGTGGCTTGTTGCCAGCTGTCTATGTAGCCCCCATTTTCTGCTCTGACATGACCAACGATTCCATTGAAGAAGTACTCCGGTTGCCTGTTCCGTTCTTCTCCTTGACGATCCACTTCTGTCACTACCAGGCGATCTGGGGTATTCGATCCAGGAGGCGATACTATCTTCTTGAAGATGTGAGTATGTAAGACTTTGTTCTGTTTCTGGATTTCCGATTGCAACGGATAGGCTTCCCCTTGGGGGTACCACTGAGATCCAGATGGCATAGGGACCGGAGGGATATCAGAGGTATATCCGAAATGAGGAGCACTTGATGGCGTGTCACCAAGTTCGGTGGTTCCAGAATGGTGCTGGTTTGAGGACCAGGATGCTTGACTTTGATCACCTGTTGGATGATGGTCAGAAGAGGCCGCAGCACGGCTATGCTGCACAGAGACGGTAAGCTGGCGGCGATGGAGGCTCATTGGTCCGCGGGGAGAATCAATGCCAGCACAATCAGAATCCCGTTTGGTCATTTGAGTGCTTAAGCCGAAATTAAACCATGTTGAAAAAAGATGGTGCAACAGCAGCAAACGAATAAGGTGAGAAAAGAAAAGAGAGGAAAGATGCAACAGCACTGACAATAAGCAAGCAATGCGGCAGTGGGCTTGTTTTTCGACCAACTCATGGGAGCATGTTACGGTTGGGAAGTGCTCTATGGCAACTCAGCCGCATGATGTATGGTTGGTTCGGATTCACGAACGGGCGCATTTCATTGGGGAATAAGATGCCGAGTTCTTGGCCCTCAGTCCAACGTGGGCGATGTTCATGAAGCAGGTCAAACAGGAGGTGTTCGTTCCTCAGGACGAAGGTGTCGCCCGTGATATCTTGCCAACGAAGATCCAACGACGTGTGTTCAATGAAACAATCCCAGGTGTAGTAGATGTGCTGACTGATGTAGTAGAGCAGTGTTTCCACCATAAGAGATCGTACATGTGTCGGATGGATGAGGACATGATAGGTGAACAGAGCAATTTCCTCCATGCGGCCTAAGCCCGGGAGTTCACTGCAGGATGTCATGTCCATGTGCTCATGTCCCAATTCTGAGAGGACGGGACGGACCTGTTCCAAGTTGACACTAACCAGTACTCGGCGTGTGTCCCTCACTGGGGGAACATATCGCAGGCATCCCTGTAGTGATGGTTCCGTGGGCGAGACTCGTTGGAATGTCTCCACATGGGTAGGTCGTCCCGAGAGCGGGATCGATCAGGTTGAGTACGTACGTAATCAGATGAGTAAGCCATAATGTCTGAGACACACTGCAAAGGTGAGAACAGTGCAAATGGAGATGAGGGTACAAACCTTCAGACAGCAAAAATTGGAAGTTACTGATGATAAGTCAACCAAGCAGCAAATGGGCAATCAGGCGCCTTTTTTGTGCCATGTTGGGTTGCAATCTCAGTCCTCAGCTTCCGGCTCATGGGGTGGAAGCTCCCGATGCTGTTGTTCGGGCATTTGTTTGAGAGCGGCCCATCTCATTTTACAAACTTGAGGATCTCGACGAAGTCTTGCTCCGATCGTCTTCCACGACGGGCGGGACTTAGTGTCATTCTTGAGACTGACCAGCTCTTTGTCGTCATTATCTGTCCATGGATGGAACCATGGCCCAGCAACGGTTGGATTGCCACCTGGCTCAATGGACATATGGGTTGGTTCGCTGGTAGTCGAAATTCCTGGAGGAGGAGGAGGTGCCGGGACCGGATTGGTCGTTGTTGTCAGGGAGGTCGCTGTTGCCGACGTATGGATTGTTCGATACTTTGGTGGTAACTCCTCGTCGGAATCATCTGAGTTAAGACCGGGAGGGGGACTGTCTGCTGCAACTGGCAGTGGAGGAGGATCTGCTGCGGATTCTGGTGCCGAGGAATCCACCCGTTGTTTCTTCTTTGGTTGTGGTGCATCCACCGGGTGGGCTCGTTGTTTTGAGCGGACTGGAACCGGTGTGGTGGTTCGTGTGGTGGCCCTCGGGTAATCCGGGCCTGGGACCCCCCATTTTGGAGATTTCCCAACTGGCGTCGAGGACGAAGTGCCCATGGCCGGG